AACACTGCCATTTCTCTCTGCTCAGCTCCTCCATTCTCTTGACCCAGCTTGCTTGACCATTGCAACTCTCCCTCAGCTCCAGTTGTGACTTCGACCGCCCCTCATGGCATTGAACCAGGCCTCTGCAAATTCGGTCATGGCTGCCCCTGCCAGCGGTGAAGCTGCCCCTGATGGCACAGGTAATGTAATCCCTTTTAATCCTCCTAGAACCTTGCTAACTCTCTCATCAGGCGTTATACAGCTCGACCCATGGCTAGAACCCTTTCGAGAAGATCTGAAGTACAGATTTGCAAAGGCTCAGGAGTGGATAAAGAAGATTGAGAAAACCGAAGGTGGCTTGGAGAAATTCAGCCGTGGATATGAAAAGTTCGGCTTCACATTCGAGCCCGATGGCTCAATAGTTTATCGCGAATGGGCCCCAAACGCTGAGCAAGCATCCTTGATCGGCGAATTCAACAACTGGAACAGAGAGTCCCATCCGATGAAGAAGAACGAGTATGGTGTATGGGAACTGAGGCTCCCGGCAAAAGGGGGCGTCCCAGCGATTGCCCATGACACCAAATTGAAGATTTCCATGGTCATTCCGGGAGGAGAGCGCATTGAAAGAATACCGACATGGATCACCAGAGTCACCCAAAACCTTGCTGTGTCCCCGGTCTACGACGCGGTGCTATGGAATCCTCCCAAAGAGGAGCGCTATGTTTTTAAGAATCCTCGCCCTCCGTATCCAAAGAGCGTTCGCATCTACGAAGCACATGTGGGCATTTCTTCCCCCGAGCTGAAGGTTGCCACGTACAAGGAATTCACCAAGAACATGCTCCCAAGGATCAAATATCTCGGATACAATGTCATCCAGTTGATGGCAATCATGGAGCACGCTTACTACGCTTCTTTCGGATATCAGGTCAACTCATTTTTTGCCGCGAGCTCGAGATACGGCACTCCCGAGGATCTAAAAGAGCTCATTGACGCAGCCCACGGTATGGGACTCACTGTGCTCCTGGACGTCGTGCATTCCCATGCAAGCAAGAACGTCCTGGACGGCCTCAATATGTTCGACGGCAGCGACCACCTTTACTTCCATGAAGGAGGAAGAGGTCGACATGATCTGTGGGACTCTCGGCTCTTCAACTATGGCCATCACGAAGTTCTACGATTTCTCCTATCTAACCTCCGGTTTTGGATGGAGGAATACCAATTCGACGGTTTCCGATTCGATGGGGTCACATCCATGCTTTACGTGCACCATGGTATTGGCACAGGTTTCTCGGGGGGCTACCACGAATACTTTGGCCCTTCCGTGGACGTGGAAGCTGTTGTCTATCTCATGCTTGCCAACGAGATGCTCCACGACATCTACCCGAATTGCATCACCATTGCTGAAGATGTTTCTGGCATGCCTGCTCTGTGTCTGAAACTCTCACTCGGTGGAATAGGATTCGACTACCGCCTCGCCATGGCGGTCCCTGACATGTATATCAAGCTCCTCAAAGAAAAGAAAGACGATGAGTGGGACATTGGCAACATCGCATTCACCCTGACCAACCGACGTCATGGCGAGAAGACCATTGCTTACGCCGAATCCCACGACCAAGCCCTAGTGGGCGACAAGTCATTGATGATGTGGCTCGCCGATGCAGAGATGTACACCCACATGTCGGTCCTGACCCCCTTGACGCCGACCATCGACCGTGCACTCTCTCTCCACAAAATGATCCGCCTCGTCACCCATGGTTTGGGCGGCGAAGGTTATCTTAACTTTGAGGGCAACGAATTCGGCCACCCAGAGTGGCTCGACTTCCCCCGGGCAGGCAATGACAATTCCTTCTGGTATGCTCGCCGACAGCTGAACCTGACGGAGGACCACCTCCTCCGGTACAGGTTCTTGAACGAGTTCGACCGTACCATGCAGTGGACCGAAGAGAAATATGGTTGGCTCCACAGCCCCCAAGCGTATGTCTCTCTGAAAAACGAAACCGACAAAGTGCTGGTCTTCGAAAGAGCAGGTCTCTTATGGATATTCAATTTCCACCCCACGAACTCGTTCACGGATTATCGAGTCGGTGTGGAGGTCCCAGGCGTTTACCGGATCGTCATTGACACCGATGCCACCGAGTATGGTGGGCACGGCAGGAATGCAAAGGAAACCAGATTTTTCACCACTGATTTACCGTGGAACAACAGGAAGAACTTCACCCAGGTTTATATTCCTACGAGGACGGCTTTGGTGAGTTTGCACCCTTATCCTCTGTATTTGAATCATCTCACTGACCTGACATGTACAGGTCCTTGCTCTTGAATCGACTCTTTGATCCAAAGGTTCTGTGTACGGACTTGTGCTGTGGAATGCGATGCAGACCTCTGGCTTGATGGTCTTGATAGCTGAGCAGTCCACCATGATGAAGGGAAAGGAAGACCCATCAAAAACATTCTCGGAAGGGAGGATCAACGACTTTCATATAAAACTACTATCACTATTAATATCTCATAGATTCAACATGTATTAAATGATTCAGCTTGGTGATAGTTGGGCAGCCAGACCTACACGAAGTAGTTCATCTCTAAAATATACAATTACATAACCTAGGGCATAAAAGAGGTCCATGGTGTTGGTCAATATTTTTATCGCCAATGTAATCCTTCTTTGAAACACGTTTCTCACACAAATTACGTATACAACCTATGGATGAGTAGAGTTGGGCGGCCTTGCACTAGGAAGGGTGTGTTCTGTGTTCTGCTTCAATTCTTCCAACGACATCTCCGCCTGCATAGCCTTGTACGTGGTAAATCGGGATAGCTCTCAGAGGGCTGGTACCCCATACATTGTTGCAAGCACACAGTTTCGTTCCCAGCAATGGTTCCATTGTTTTGCATTGCTCCACAGAGAGGGGTGGAGGATGCTCAGCCCTGACATCGGTATCTTTCAAAGATGTTGATAAGGTTGTGAGCTCGAATCTTGGCTGGCGTCGACCCCAGCGTCAACGATCCTATTATGATTTCAGGTCGGGTCGATGACGGTGACTTTAAGAATTTGGAGGCAATCCCCTCCTAATATTCCACTCGTCCCGACACACCCTCATTGCCAACCCTGGAACAAGGTCCTGCTCCTTATTTCTGCCCCATTTTGCTTTGCTCAACAACCACTCCGTTAGGGTGACGACTTTGCTCGTCTTATCAAAGCCATTGCTCTCCTCGGCGTGCTCGATAGTATGGCTGGCTATCCGGCCTTTGGTGTCGAATGTAAAGATGAACAAACCCGTAAAGTCGTCGCCTTTGTTAAGATTAAAAATAGGTTTGTCGCCGCCGAGCAGTTTCGACAGGCCGCGGTTTATGTTCGAGTCGGTCGTGGTAGATGCAGCGGCTTCGAGATTGCCATTGCCGTTGCCAATTGCTTTGGGCTCCGTCTTCCACCGAACCACGAGCTTCTCTGCACTTAGATCTTGCTCGTTTTCGGATGCAGGAGTGGCATATGCAAACCCTGTCCGCACGATCTTCTCCGAAATGATTCTCAGCTTGACGTTGCCCACGATCGGAACGCAGCCCCAGGCGACCGGGGCAGTCCAAAGGGATGCGCGGTAAGCAACACGGCCTTTGACTGCGGGTAGATGAGGATGAGTCGAGGGAAAGAGGTGAAGGGAGATGTTGGGGGACAGGATCTCGGGTGGGAGCGGTTTGGTAAGGATGTCGGGGAGGAGGGGCGACAATATTCGCAATGCTATAGCATGTCAGCACTTCCATGGCCTCGTTGGTTGATCTCATGTCAAGCATACTCTTCCCTAGCCTGATCAAGCGTTCATCCGGAGGTTTATGGTCACTACTGTTACCAGACGCAGGAGGACTGAGGAGGTCGTTTTCCGGGCCGAATCTGGGAGAGGCAGCGGTAAACCAGACTTCGGATATGGGCTCAGGCCTGACTTGTGCTAGATGTCTCTTCGGCAACACCTGGCGCAAGGAACCTCCACCGGAAGCGGTCGACTTGTGCCTGCGAAGCAGCTGGACTTGGTTGGGATGAATAGAAGCCCATCTTGAAGCTGGAGCGGCGCACTTGGGGGTGGTAGTAGGAAGTCTGCGCATTGGCCCGGAGGTCATCTGGGTGGAGGAAGCATGCTTAAGATATCAAGCACTCGAAAGATTCGAGGGTTCGTGGACGACAGGAATATAAGACGAAAATATAGAGACGGAGGCAGATCCCGGGCGCAGGTTGCAGGTTGCACATCTCACCACTAGAAAACTACATACATACGTCAGCCAATGGCAGTAGCAGCCCGCACCATGCAAATCATGTCCATCAACCAAAATTTCCTTCTCACAGCTTACCAGTTTAGACGACACAGCTCATATTACCCGCTCGGACTTTGTCAAGACCCAAGACACTATCAAGACGCCCAAAATCCTGTTAACGGAGTACCACTGTCTATGGCCAGCTCGTCTCGGGCGCTGACTCTAGTCCTCGCCAGCGCGAGCCTGTGTCTCTCATCCATCTGTCCGTGTGGCAAGCATGGGCCTTCTTGCGGGGCTAAGTGCTTCCCTATCTAGCAGCTTCATGCCGGAAACAGACAATGAATGCTTATCTAACATGCCTCCGGAAGCTGGTAGGTGGTTAGTGACGCCCATGAGGATTAATGTGCTGGTCCCAGTCCTCTCCATTTCATCCATGCGCGGAGTAGGGTTGAACTTCCTAACCCACAAACGGATCAATGTTTGGTACTTGCATGGTGCTTGCCCCATCCTGATGGCTTGACTGGGCAGAGTTCAGAACTTTGGAATGAGGAGATCAGTCGAACAGGTGCCGGACTTTTACAGCCGGGCCCTTGTGGACATGCTCACCTTGGATGCCGCGCCGTCGAGCCCAGACCGTTTCGCTTGTCAATCTCGGTGAGCTCTGAATGGCTTGGAGAAAGCTTGTTCGACTACCTACTCGGTGCCTACTACTTCGCGACTTGTCCCTTGAACTCAGTGCCTCTCCACCTCATCATCATTCGGCGGGCTGGTCACAGAAAATGCCATCGGGTCAATCGCTGCTGTGGGTTAACCATGATGCAAAGAACATGAATGCCCTTCCCCATAGGCATCGAGTCTTTACCCACGTCCAGAAAATCTATAGACCATGGAAGCGTGGGCAGGAAATCAAGTCGCTGCGAGCTTCGGCAAAAGTCCCTATCCTCGCAAAACACCGCAACGACAAGGACGGACAGTACCAGTGTTTCAGCTCTCCTCGAAGCAGCCATTCATCAGAAGAAAGCGAGTCGCCTGGGTCCGACACATGGGAGGGTGGATCGAAGGCCCTTTCGCTTTCAACAGCGATAGGAAAAGGCAATTCCGACCCTTTCGGCGCATATCCTATACCAATTACTGCCGAGGTCAATAATCTCATGACTTTCTATCGAGACTATATAATTCCCAGCATATGGTACAGAAACTTCAAAACCAAGAATACCATGGCCCTTGCTGCTCGTGAATGGCAATTCAATGTGTCCCATCTCGAAGATGAAGGGACCACTTACGCTATTATTGCGCGTCACGGTATGGTAGCAACAACATGTGTGAGTTCTCCTCCAGGAAGGGCTGTTTTGTGGCGAGAGGAGTACTCCCCAGTGGGTGCCGTTCGTGTCGGAATGGGCTGACTGACATCCGCAGAATCCAGAATTGAGAAAACTGGCCTTACAATATGTGGGTAAAAGCACTCGGGCGCTGAGAGGGAAGGTTGCGCAAGGGCACGATTTGCGTCAATCATCTTCATCGTCCATTATTGACAACACCGCTATGCTCTTCAATGCTGAAACACTAGGCCGCAATCTGATCGCAGCAACCGCACATGGGAAGATGCTCACTTTCCTCTTTACGGAACAATGGGTTCGGGGCAAACTCGATTATCGACTCCTAATGTATGAAATTTACAACGACTGTCAACTGACGTCAATGTTCCTTTGTCCGCCGGTATTTGATGTCCACCACTGGCTGCCAATGGTTTTTGATCCAATATGGTCCAACACGACCCGACAGCTCCCCCAGTTTGCTTTTGAGGGCCTTGATCCGTCTGTTGACAGTGAAGAACTCCAGTTCTGGTTTCAGAGTCGACGAGAACAACTGCAGATATATGGACAGCGAAACGCCGAAGGAGACCTATTTCTCGATGTGCCAGTTGTGATGACATGGTTCCTATCGAAAGCCTACGTCTTTCATGGCCGGATGATCAGCCACTACTTGAGAAGCAAGGAGCAATTTCTGTGCCCAGACTTGAGGCGGGAAATCAAAGATCATCTCCTCGCTCAGCAATTTATGGCACTGGCGGCAATATACCTCACGCGAGGCCCAAATTTCAACTTCAATCCAACTGTGCTTGGAATTCCGATGTTCGAGGGAGCAATCATTCCTCGCACCCTGCGAGCCTTACTTGAGCATAGTGAGGTGTCTTCACAACGACCATCCTGGAAGAAATACATCAATGCCAGGCTCTGGGCGCTTTACGTTGGTGCGCTTCCTGAGCAAGCTGATGCATCCAAGGAAGTCATCCCAGAGGCACAGTGGTTCATGTTACACTTGGTAAAACTTGCATCTACATTGGGTATTGTGAGTTGGCACGCATTGCGACAGGTCTTGCGCGGTTTCCTTTACTCTGACATTCTTATGGCGCAAGGCTCTGAATGGTTTGAAACATTGATGGTTACGCACTTCGAGCATGGTTCATGACAGCCAGGATCCCACATTATCGTCCAGCCAAGTTAAATCAAACCACGCATTCCGTCCTTTGAATTCTTGGCCCTTCAGCTAGTGCTGAAGTCCCTGTTGCAAAGAGGCGTACAATGGAGAGGACCAACTAAATGCCGTGCTGCTAGATGAAACGTAGAGAAATAATAAGCTAAGAAGTATTGTACTCGTGTTTCTCTAGAACCATCTTGCCGTCGGCAGGATGAGAATTGTGGATTGAGCCTCATGGCGGAATTGGACAGGAAACCCATCTGCAACACGAAACGAGAATGTATCACTACCGTCAGAGCAATTCCACAGCTTTCTGGGACCGAATTCAACGCTGACCTCCTGTTGAGAAAGCGATCTTGCCAAACCGATCAAAAGAACCTTAATTCAATTTGGACAATGAGGAGGTGAGCGCAAAGATCGAGACTATGTTGATACACATCAATTACTACTCTTGTGGAGAGTGGTCAGCCTTTGAAAGTCCGAAGATTGCCGCAGATCAAGCACCGATGGCATCAGAACGCCCACATGGACAGTGGCCAGGACATGCTCGTTCCCCAGCCAGGATAGGCACTAAGAGAGACAGAGGTAGACTGTCCGCAGAGCATTGCGCAGGGAGCTGGCTGCCTGCTGCCGATGAGGCATGAAAGCGGCGAGCACAAAGGTAAAAGTGCCCGGATAAGGGCCAGAGAAGAACATAGTGCGGATTTGGAGCAGCAGACAAAGAAAACCCACGCAGTCATGTACAAGACATGAGGCGGGCGGTCCTGGTATATGTCAGATCCTGCAAGCAAGCAAGCAAGCAAGCAAGCAAGCAAACAAACAAACAAACAAACAGGCACACAAGCAATGTGCAAGCCACAAGTGCAAGCGCTCAACAATGACAGAAGCCCCTGCTGATCCAGGTCCGTCTGGCTGTCCAGGGCTCAAGGAAAGAATACATCTGTCTGCACCTGTGCAGCTGCTTCGATTAGGACAAGCCGAATTGGAAAATAAGCAACACAGTCTGAGATATCCACTATATCCAAAGAGGGCTCAACAACGACAAAGTGGTCGCTGTATGGAACGTAGCTAACTGCGTAGGTAGAGGATAGAGTACCTCTATTTCCGAGGGGGTACGGACACCTTGACATATCATTCGGAAGAATAATATTCCGCGGTGTCGGGAGTGTAACCCCCTGACTTGTTAGCCTCGTCCTAGTCGGCGACTCTCCGCGCCACTGTCACAGCTGCTTCATTTGTTGGAGACAGACAGTGGCTGCCAGCGGCTCTTGCTACGTCCGCCGTCCTGTTCCCCATGCCTCTTGTCGGTGGCTTGTAGGCCCGTCCGTCAGTGATTCAACGGCCGCTGAACCGTTCAGAAGGCTGGTACTTCGTAGTCGAAGATTTGCGGGATGGGCATCATGGTTATGGTATAGTATCTGGAGCAAGCGAAGGAAGAGCAGTCCTTAAGAGTCTGTATGATTCCAGAAGGTATCTTGACAATTTGGGGCTGCTTTTAGAAAGCGACAGGGCGGGAGAGAAAGTCACCGCATTCATCAAACCTAGCAGCACAATCAGAAAGAGCATAGCATGGATGAGCGTATCAGAACAGTGGCGTACTACTCTTGACTTTGCCTGTCTCTGTGAACGATGGTCGAGGCGGCGGTAGAGGGCGAAATTGATGAGTTTGATTGTTCCTTCAAAGACGCCTTCAGATGCGAGGCACCTCCACATTGCGACGTTTGCTGAGCAAGAGAGGTTTCTTATTATTCGTTATTTCAGGAACCTCAAGCTAGTGAGATCAGACTTGATAGTCTGAATAAGACTTTCATTCTTGGAGGCCAATGCTTTGAGGGCGCTGCTTTGGGCCAAAGCACTGCGGTCATAGACTGAACAAGATCAACATGACCGCGACTTCGACAGACTTGCAGAGTACCGATTGCGGCTCTGCGCTCAACAGAAGCATAAAGGAATAGTCCAGCGAAGCGTAGATGCTGGAGAGGCGATAGATAAAGGGCCTTTCAAACCGCGCCCGCGACGCAGGTTGATTTATTGACGCTACACTCACCTCAAAGACAAAGACCCAGACTCCAGTTTTGAAACTAGCCACAGCCTCGCGGAAAGTGACATGCAACAACCTCTGCTTCTGCCGACTGCATCCTCTCTGGGAGACATTCTGTCGTAAGAATGCGTCTCCGTCCTTGGTCCGAAGTCAATGCCTTTGTCATTCCTGCTTTCAATACTGTCAAGGTTTCAGTTTTCCTGTGTTGTCTCTTTGGCTCTCTCAGAAAGTCAGATGAAAAGTCAACAGTTTGACCTTAGCAATCTCTCCCCTGTGCAATCAAGGACATCACAAGGGAACAGAGGCAATGGCCGGCACGAATTCTTGCAGATGGAAGACTGATGGATGTACTTATTCTGATAATCACTTCCAGAATGCTGAGTTTCTCGCAACATTCTCCCTGTCAGAACTCCCAATCAACTCACCTCATATCTGCAACCTCTTAGAATAGCATCCAGCGGCAGGCTCCTTGCTATGCTCTCTGGACCCCCACGGCAGTGACCATGTCTCGCTCAACGTCAGACGACCAACTGAAGTTCCTCTTGAGCTGCGTCAGACACGCCAGCCATGGACGAGTGAGCAAGGCCACCACTCAACCCCTCAGAACACTCAATTGAGCTGACAGCATCAGGTTGATTTCGTGGAAGTTGCCAAAGAATGTGGTGTAGTCAGCAAAGGAGCAGCGTGAGTACACCCTGCTGCCGTGAGTGTGTCCGGCGTTGCTGACGGGACACGAGGGCCAAACGATATGAGAGACTCATGAAAGCGATTGGTATCAGTCCTAGCGGTGGCCCTTCAAGCAGCTCTCCCCCCAAGCCCACCATCTCCAAGCCAAAGGCCAAGGGTCCAGTTGAAAGACCCTCGCCAGCGAAGAAACAGAAGCTGGGGAGAGACAGCCCGGCCTTCACTTCGAAGAAAGGCGAGAACGTTCCGATGCCGATGAGGATGACCGCAGCAAGTCCACAGGGTGATGCTTGTGGACCTACACCGACAAATTCAGAAACATTCCATAGCATTGTTGGACATAACCTTTTCAGTGCACCAGGCAAGCCACAACAGTCTTTTCCTACCTTATTGGCTACCAGCCACCCGGGTGCCAGCTCTTGGGGTCAATCCGTTACGTATTCGGCACCGCAGCAATCGCCATTTGCTGGTTTCCCGGCATTTGCATGCGGCCCTGGCCATCAGTTGGTACCAGACGTCCATATGTATCCCCCTTTTCCACCAGCATTCAGAGAGCCATGGTCGTTCACATGCCAGGAAGATGGTAGACCACTCCGTGGTTTTGGCGAGTATGCCAGTCGAAACCATGCCATCCAGCAAAACCAAGCCGATCAGCCACCTCTTTCGTACGAAGCAATGCCGCTGAGGCTCCCACCGCAGCCACAGGAGGTCGTTCCGATTCAACAGCCAGGCGAACGTCAGCCAGAAGTAGGAGACGAGTACTCCGAGCCCAAAGGCCATGTTGTTGTGGTGGAATGACCTATATCGAAGCGGCCGCCACTGTGGACGCAGTCAGGTGCTAGGGAGGAAACTTGCTAACTGTCGAGCCGTCTGTCGAGCGCGATTGTTTGCCTCTCAGTCCGGCGGTGGTCACGAACAGGGTGGTCGACAGTGTGTCTTTGAACGCCATCCAAGCCCATTGTAGGGCCAAATACTGCTTTCTGGGGACAGCCAGACTGGAATGTCTTTCAGGAAGACGATGACCGAGGGAGAACAATATCACTTCAGTTCCAATAGCTGCATCATGTGAAAGAGCAGCACATGGACAGGAGACAGAGGCGTTGGCGACATCGTTGTTGGTCCGGTTGTCTTCACTGCCAACATGGGCTCAGCAGAGAAGCGTCCCCCCAACTTTCTCCTTCTTTGCCTTGCAGCCCTCGACCTTTCCCAAGCCTCCATCTCCCATCTCTCACAACTCTCTTGCTTTATCCTACCTCTCTTCTATACCTCTTCTACATCTGTTCATCGCACTCAGGGCGAGTTTCAGGATCGTCAAGGCCTTTGTCGCTGGCGGTGTGGAGTGTTTGGTAAGTGCCATTGTGGAAAACCAGCACCTTTCAACACAACGCACTTTTGCACACACACAAAACACGACCTCTCATCGCTTGTCCTCGCATCCTATTCAGTTGCATTCACTGCTCCATTCACTGTTCCATACTCCTCTTCTCTTTCACTGAGAGCTAGTGATGGATTTGTCCTCCCATGATTCGTCCCGGTTCACTCAACACGGCGAACTTTTGCCCCCTTACAAAACACCACCTCCTATCTTAATCCCGTGTGTCCAACATTCCATACTCTTCCGCTCTTCCACTGAGTGCCAGTGACGGATTTGCTCTCTCATAATTCGTCTCGCGTCCTTTCAGACACGACGTTGCCCCGGCGCTGCGTTGCACCCACTTCGTTCTGCCAGCGCTACGTTGCGCCAACACTTGTATGGTCGCCTAGTCGACAATCATCACCGGGCATTCACAACGTCGCCGAGACCCCACGTCCTTTCCTAGGACGAACTCGAACACAATTCCCTCAATATTCGCTGTTCTCTTCAACTGACACCTGAGAGAAACAGGGTGACAGCACTTGGTCCTCGCTATAGGTCAACATGCCTGCAAGAAACCGTCCAGCAAAGCGTGTTCTCAATCGTTGGAGTGGTTAGTTCAGATGTTCCACAAACTATCAATCCTCGTGTTGCTGACTGTGTCCAGATGACCTCGACAAAGGTGTCCTGCTGTGTGTGCAGTATGCGTGTGCAGAGGCCGGCCTGAAGATCCCATGTAAGTACAGAACCCAACAAGCTCAACGGTTTCAAACCCTCCGATTGTAACAATGACAGGGTCTCGGGTAGCTGCCCTCATGGGTCCCACCTTTACCGAAGGCTCCATCGTTCAGCATCTTGCAAAGCTTCGAAACCTCATGGCTCAACATGGCATCCCGGTTCCACCAGCCGTAAAGCGTGGTATGGTCACAAAAGAACCATCAAAAATCTACGGTAGTGCGGGCAATAAGGTTGTCGAACCAATCCCTCCCATGTTTCCCGGCTCCCCAACTGCTAAACGGGAGGATGAAGGCGAAGACAAAAGCTCGCTCTATGAAAAGCCTAAGCGTGCGAAGAAGGAAGCCACAAAAGCCGCAGCACCTGCGAAGAAGGAATCGACAGCCTCAAAGGGAAAGGGTAAGGCCAAGGGTAAAGGTCGTCGTCGCAACGCAAAGGACGAAGATGACGACAACGAACCTGTTCCAGAGCTCTTTGATTCGGATGACGAGTATCCCCCTCCTAGAAAGCGTCGCAACAACACTGGGTCCAAGAAGAAGGATGCTGCACGTGAAGAACTCGCTACTATACTTGAAGAGGCTATATCGCCTGCGGTAGAAGACACCAAAGTTGACGACGACATTGCGGTGAAGGTTGAAGAAGAGGAGCTCGGTGGCCCTGCCCGTCGTACCCGGGGTATCAAGCGCGACTATTCCATCATGGCCGCTCCTTCTGATGATGAAGCCGAAGTTGATGATGAAGCTGAAGCCGAAGAGGAAGCCCCAGAATCCCCAGAGTATATGAACAACGACGTCGAAGCCGATTTTGGAGGTATTGCAGATGACGGCATGGACGAAGCGTCTAGCGAAGTGTCGACTGTGGTCCTCGATCGCGGTCAACAGGTCGTGGCTGATGTTCCATACGGTCAAATCATCCCCACTATGGAAGGCCTCCCTACCACGGTATGTTAGCCCTTTCAGTTCTTTATAGCTGCGCTGACAGCGAAACAGAGTACGTTCGGGGACTTCAACCCCCCGAATCATATTGGTGTTGGTATCATCAACCACAATAGTTATTCCGCTCCTCAGCTCGGATATTCTGGTGCTGCTATCATGGGCACGATACCACAAGCATATCCACAATTTCCGAGTATGAGCATGTATGGCTCGTCCACTGATTCGTCCCGAAACAACTCGATTTGCCCCGACATGATGTACTCGACTCTTCCATCAATGTCTGACGACGAGTTCTTGACCGCACATACCGGCTTTTGTCACGGTAATACGGGAGACGTGATCAGTGAGGAGGACATGATGAACACCACGGCAAACGCAGACATCTTCTGGGGGAACGGTGACTATGAGTTGGACGACGCATGAATTTCAAGTAAGTGTCAAAGTCTCGACTGTACCAGGAATGGCTAACCGATTTGGCAGTTACTGAACGTGTCATCGCCCACAAGTTTGAAAGCACTCAACGGCTCACGGTACTGGATTGAGTGACGGCGGATAGTGATGTGATAGTCCATGGTATAGAGCACTCGTGGTGTAGTCTGGGAGGAGTTTTGACCATGATGGAATCACGCAATGGGGGTTTTTTTCCCTGTCCTTTCTTTTCTTTCTGTTGTTTTTCGCTGGGAAAGCGATACTGGTGGACTTTAATCCTCTCAGAGGCCATGTCGCCAAACAAAATCTCAGCAGCAAAAAATTTCAAGCAACTGAGCGCACGATACTCACCGGCTGTACTGCATGTACAAAACGACAAGCACCAATGTCACTAGATAGAGCTCTGATATTTGCACAAAAATTCAAAGATGGGAATATTGATCCAAAGTCCCCTTCCACCACTTCCTCCCTGCCTGTGAGCTGTTCAGATGCAGGCGAACTGAGTAGCAAGGTTTTAGAAGTGTCGGCGGTAGGAGGCAAGGCTCCGATGGGTTGCCAAGCGACTAGGCCCGAAACGGAATCATGCGGCGTCTGCGCTTCTGTTGATTTCGAGAATCTCCAAATTTTTTGGCATCGACCTCGATACCTCTTGATACCTCTCCCATATCACACAATCATCAATCGTCCTATTCCCCCTTTCCTTTCCCTCATCTCGACTTGTCAATTGCCTTGTCCACCATGCAGCGCGCTCTCTCTTCCGCAGCTCGATCCTCCTTGTCCTCCTCTTCTCCATACTCCAGATCAGCCGGCAGGAGCCTCCAGCAACTGCGCTTCGCCCATAAAGAGCTGAAGTTTGGCGTCGAGGGAAGAGCCCAGCTCCTGAAGGGTGTCGAGACTCTATCCAAAGCTGTTGCAACAACGCTCGGTCCCAAGGGCCGCAATGTCCTTATTGAGTCAAGCTACGGTTCGCCCAAGATCACGAAAGGTGAGCATCCATGACCTCGATACCAACACAAGTCCAGACTAACAACACAATCAGATGGTGTGACGGTCGCCAAAGCGGTCACCCTCCAAGATAAGTTCGAGAACCTCGGAGCCCGCCTGATCCAGGATGTCGCCTCAAAGACGAACGAAGTTGCTGGCGATGGAACCACAACTGCCACCGTCCTGGCAAGTGCCATCTTCTCCGAAACCGTCAAGAATGTCGCTGCCGGATGTAACCCTATGGACTTGAGAAGAGGCACACAGGCAGCGGTTGACGCAGTCGTCGACTTCCTGCAAAAGAACAAGAAGGACATTACCACCAGTGCCGAGATCGCCCAGGTCGCGACCATCTCTGCCAACGGTGACACACATGTCGGTAACCTCATCTCGAACGCCATGGAAAAGGTCGGCAAAGAGGGGGTGATTACAGTCAAAGAAGGCAAAACAATTGAAGACGAGCTCGAGGTTACTGAGGGTATGCGCTTCGACCGCGGCTTTACCTCCCCCTACTTCATCACCGACACCAAGTCGCAAAAGATCGAATTTGAGAAGCCCTTGATCCTCCTTTCAGAGAAGAAGATCTCTGCCGTCCAAGACATCATCCCTGCCCTCGAGGCTTCCACACAAATGCGCCGGCCTCTCGTCATCATTGCCGAGGATATCGACGGCGAGGCATTGGCTGTCTGCATCCTGAACAAACTTCGAGGTCAACTTCAAGTGGCGGCAGTCAAGGCTCCCGGCTTCGGGGACAACCGTAAGAGCATCCTTGGCGATATTGGCATCCTGACCAACGCCACCGTCTTCACGGATGAACTGGACATCAAACTAGAAAAGGCCACCCCGGACATGCTTGGATCGACGGGCAGCATCACAATCACCAAGGAAGACACCATAATTTTGAACGGCGAAGGTAGCAAAGATGCCATCGCCCAACGATGCGAGCAGATCCGCGGCGTCATGGCAGATCCTTCAACTTCAGAGTATGAGAAGGAGAAGCTTCAAGAGCGTCTGGCCAAGTTGTCTGGCGGTGTTGCCGTCATCAAAGTTGGTGGAGCTTCCGAGGTTGAGGTGGGCGAAAAGAAAGATCGTGTCGTTGACGCTCTCAATGCTACTCGCGCTGCCGTCGAAGAGGGTATCCTGCCTGGTGGTGGTACTGCATTGATCAAGGCCGCTGCAAATGCTCTTGGCGGCGTTCAACCTTCCAACTTCGACCAACAGCTCGGTGTCAGTATTATCAAGAACGCCATAACGCGACCTGCTCGGAGGATTGTTGAAAACGCCGGTCTTGAAGGCAGCGTCGTCGTCGGCAAGCTCATGGACGAATTCGGCTCCGATTTTAACAAGGGCTTCGACTCGGCCACTGGCCAGTATGTCGATATGCTGAGCAAGGGCATTGTCGACCCTCTCAAGGTTGTCCGTACGGCTCTCGTTGATGCTTCTGGTGTTGCGTCGCTACTGGGTACTACGGAAGTTGCGATCGTCGAGGCTCCAGAAGAGAAGCCTGCAATGCCCATGGGCGGCGGTATGGGCGGTATGGGAGGCATGGGCGGCTTCTAAGCATCGTTCCCTGAGCCGGATGAGGAACGGCCCCCGCTCTTCTCACGCCTTGTCCCTGACACTTGCAATTTGTCCTGCGTTCCAGCGACTTCCATTCGCACCTTTGGTATAGTAGCAATCCGCAGCATCACGTCCTCCGAGCGACCTACCGCCCATCCTCCCACGACCGCTCCACTCTCGAGAATCCCTTGTGTCGATCTAAAGGAGATTTGTTCGCCCGGGAGGCCGGTTAGTTTACCTCTTTGTATATTCTACGAGACTTGTTACATTACACTCCACTCAAGTTCAAAATCTTGTCTATCTTACACGTCAGATCTTTGTTCAAGGAAGGGCGTGAGGCTTAGAGAAAAAAAAAAAAGAAGATGGAATAGCCACACTGCAAAAATGCTAGCGAGAGGAGTTAGTTGTGTCGAGAAGTGGGATGGTGAAGGCATGTGGTTTGTGTAGCATGGCGATGCGCCGACTACAGCGGTTGTGGCATTGTATCATAGTTGTGGTTTAGCCGTCCAGCTGTGCAGAAGAGACCAATGTAATAAAAACCAAAAAATAACAAAACGGAACCGGATGCTTGCCGTAATACTGCTAGTGCACGATATGTGGATATATTCGTTGCCGTTGGACAGAATAAATTTCCACATCTGGACCTTGGTGTTACAAGAGCTTGAAAGTTGAAACGCGGCTCACCTCGTTCGGTCTTCAGCCGTCTTTCATTGCCTGGAAATGCCTAGAAACAAGGCTTGAGGATCACCAGCCCATGAATTGAGAGTGAGTAATTGACTGTGATTACAAACCCATTGACGAGCATTGCTATAGGAAGAAGGTAAAGGTCCTGCGAGTCCAACCGGTCTCCAAGGTTGACAGGATGCCTCCATTCAGGCGTTTCAAAGCAAATGGCCATGTCAACTATTTAATCTGCAAGCTCTCTTTCGGCCTGGGACAATCGGTCTTCCCTCGACACTGCAGTGTCTCCTTTCAAATTCCAACTTGGTCATGACATCCTCTACCAACACGGAGGTCGACAACCCTCCCTTCCACGTTCCAGAAACACTACCCGAACGCCCACCAAGGTATACCACTATAGCGACCTTCCCCCCTGGTTCCTTCCTCGAGAATCTCGCTGTCCGTCGCGATGGCTCGATCCTCGCATCTGACATGCTGAGCGGGAGCATCTGGTACATTGACCCCCATGTTGAAGACGGGAACACACAGAAAACCGTGGAGCTGGTGCACAAATTTGAAGTCGAGGGCACTCTTCCTGAGGAGTCATTTCATGGTGACGACGGTAAAGCTGAAGCTGCATCTGAAGCCGGAGAAGGAGAAATTCATGCATCCTACGCCTCCACTCCCGCCGCGGAAGCAATTGTCGAATCCCCGACTGAGCCGGACCTGTTCTACCTGTTCTCCGGCATCCATGGCAAGAAGGGGACATGGTCGGTTTACGAGCTGGATATGCGCTCATTCGTCCCAGCTCCAAAGCCAACCCAAATGACAGTCAGGTGTCTCGCGCCCGTCCCCGCCGTGACATGGCTCAACGGAGGCACCGCCATCCCTCATCCCACCGTACCCTTAATCTTGATGGCCGAGTCATATCAAGGGCGCTTATACTCTTACAACATCAAGACCGGGGCCGTGGGTGTATGGCTTGAACACCCACTGTTGGGTAAGATGACGACGAGACCACGTTGGCCAGGTGTGAATGGCTTGCAGTACTATCACGACGGCAAGGATAGTTGGGTCTATTTCACGAATTCAGATCGTGCGATTTTGGGACGGATGAGGGTCGATCAGCAAGGTGATGTGCCGGTTGCCACTCGCGATCCAGATACCAAGAAGATTGAAATCCAGAGTCTTGCAAGCGGTTGTGGTGGCGACGACCTGTGCCTCGATGGAGAAGGGAATATCTACGTCGCGACGAACCCGATGAATACGGTGCTGAAGTTTCCGCAACTTGCACTGCCTCTCAACGCGGCCCCAGGACAAGAAGAAGATGCGCAGCCACCGCGTCAGATCGTTCTCGGCCTTCGCCGGACCCGATCATCCGCAGAAGAAGCGTCGATTCCGAAACCTGATTCTCCTTTCGAGATCGACCCAGACACGACAGGACCTACCGCTGTCGCTTTCGGAATCACGGCTGCCGATGAGAGAGACCTGTACGTGGTGACGAATGGTGGGATAGTTAATCCCCTTGATGGAGTTGTCAGAGATGCACGAGTTTTGAGGGTACATCTCTAGCTTCCAACGGCCAGGATGCGGTCATTGTGCTAGTTGCAGGTTGTCGGTGCTCAGGTCGCCGTCGTAGAAGGAAGAGCCAGAAATCGATACGACGACATCTCCGCGCACGCCTATCGAATTCCCAACAGGTGGCACTCGCTATTCCTGGGAGAGCTGGTAGGAAGATGGTATGTAGGCAGGCACATTACAAGGAACCAGGTGAATCTCCAGTGGTCACCACAATGCGCTGGGTTGACGGGAGCCCGTTATCTCCCCCTTGACATACATTCATTCCTTGCTTCATTTCTCTCTCTGCCAGAAACCCAGCAGAAGAAGAGGATACAGACCAGACGAGCGCTGCTCACCTTTCTTCCTGACCAGTCGATCCCTCTCCTCTTCTTGTCTAATGTGCAATGTCATAAACTCACTCATGCACACCCCCGTCCTTTTTGGTTTTTTTTTGGTGGTATTTTGGTTTTCTAATCGTGCGCCTCAACCATCCTGATGGCCGCCAGATTCAGTCCAGGCCAATGTCTCTCGCCCCAAACAAACCAATACCCCAGCGAGCAGAGCACCACGAATGCATAGATGGGCAGCGCGTAGTTCATGTTCGTGCCTGTGACAGGCAACGTCGTCGGAAATGGTAACCACACAGTCAGGTAGATGGTCCAGCACAGGGCGAAGATGTTGACCGGAGTGCCCCAACCCTTCCACAGGCGCCAGCCGCCGTAGTGGACGGGGGCGCCGGAGTTGTCAGAGAGATGACCCGTCAGGCGCGCGTGCAGGATGCACGAGATCGCAATGATGTATGAGGTGTACAGACCCAAGGACGACAGGGCGGTGAATGCGCTGAAGGCCGTGCCCGTCGTTGATCCGATTTCAAAGAGGGAGAGAAGACACACGATGACGATCGGGAGCCAAGTGGCGTTCGTCGGAACGTGGTGTTTGCGATCAATCTTGCGCCCATTTGAGTCAGGATAAATTAGGGCTCCAGCAGGAAAAAAAGGAAAAGAAAAGAAAAACGCGCGAGATTTGACAAAGGGGCAGGCCGGCCGAGAACACTTACAACTGCAAGCCATCGTGGCAGAGCGCCGTCTCGAGCCCATGCCCAAGTAATCCGCGAAACTGAAGCGACGCTGGCGGCGACCACAAAGTAAGTGATGATGATAAGCCCGGAAACCATCGCATTCGCGGCGGCCATTGAGCCCGTCGCGTTCAGACATATGGGGATGATGGGATAGGAAGCGTCCAAGGCATCGTCGAGGTCGCCCAAGCAGTAGAGCAGAACCAGGATAATGCCAAATGCCATGACACCGTTGATCACAATGGTCAAGATCATGGATCGCGGGACAGCGTGTTTCGCTCGGCGGACTTCTTCAGACATGTGGACGACACCATCGAATCCTTTCGGAGCCCTGTCTGTCAGCAGAGGAGAGTCTCAAACCGGGGCGGGGGACGGGAGATTTGCGGAGCTAACCTATGAAACCCCATGCGGGCACCAGCATGCCCAGGTTGAATGCAACAAAGCTACTCCGATCCCAGCCGGACAAGATGGAATCGGTGAAAAAGACGAAGTGTGAGTCGTGCTTTGGAGCAAGGACCGCTAGGACGACGACGAAGATGATGAACAGGAGGACATGCAAGATGCCCGAGGCGAGTTCGAGCCATGGGACAAGCCAAAATGTGTAGGTGTTGATGAGCCCGCAGCTGATCAGCAGCGCCCACATGATGAACGTCAGATGCCATCTCTCCGCCGTATACCCAGGCACATTCTCGGCGATCAGGGCCTGTAAGAGAGCCGCTTCGCCGGAGGAACTGCCTGCGAGGGCCGACACCCAGGCGAACCAAGTCACCCACCCTAAATCTCGCGTCAACGACCAAGTCTGGCACAGGGACTCCTTGATGGTAGAGGGCGCACCTTGCATCCAGGTAATGAACTTTCGCGAGCTCTCGGGCGCCATGATATGCGTCCAATGGTACTGAGCACCGGCTATCGGGAGGATCGAGCCCAGTTCAGCCATGGAATAGGCTTGAGCAAGAGACCCGATCACCACTGCAAGACAGCCCCAGATGAGGGATTGCGGGCCGCCATTCCAGAAGGTGGCCGATATGTTGCTACCGTGAAGATACATATCAGACCCGGCAGCCTCACTCAAAAAGGAGGGATCGGAAGGCACAGTGACAGAGAGACGGACATAGCCATGACTTCCCAAGACTCCATGAACGTCAACGAAAAGGCCAGGAGCTGGGCGAAGCTGAAAAGTCGCTGGTTTCACGATAAGCGTTTCAACTCCGAGGCATTGTAGAGGGATATCGTACCCTCAGAGAGGTGCCATGACCATCAACCGGTGCGGACGGATACGCCTGCACAACATTCTTCTCCGAATACCCCGGAGTTTTGGCATCGTGAGGGATGGAATCCCCCGACTCCTTTGCTGGTTCACCTATCTCTAGAACTTCCGTCTTGTCGAAGTTTGCCATTTTGAATGAAATCCCGACGAGCACGAGGAAGGTGATTGAGAGGACGAAACAACAGGAGGTTTGGACTTAGGCCAAGTCAACCTGCGGGAAACGGCCGATGAAAGTACCATAATACTCGACACCGGTCCAGGAGAGAGAGTAGTCAAAAGGACCGCAACGGCCCAACTCGCACGCGATGCGGTAGTTGATCGAGGGATATTCCGCAAAGGCCACTCGGCCAGAACCGAAACATCCCTGGAAAGATCATGCCAAGCGAGCGGCGCGAGAGATGCAACGAAGCCAAGCCATTGATAGAGGCCAGATAGGGATTGCTGCACGACTATCGAGGGTTGCATTTAGAGGCGACGATCCCGCAGCGGCACAGAGACGTTAAGTGGAGAGATACGGAACATGGGACGAATGGAGTTGAAAGCTCTCCAATCATCCTGGAGCGAGCGATGGATTCGGGCGCAGTAGGATTCCGTCCAACTGATAGAGCGTGTTTCCGTGCTGGGGTCATCCAGGAATCCAGGGTGATGTACACGGTCGATCACGGTAAAGCGTTCATCAGGTGAGCCAACGACCAAATATGATACGGGACAGAACCTCGGGTCGGAAACAGCCCCCATCAAGAAAGGTTTGATCTAAGAGCCTCTGGCCTGCACTGTTTGGCAGCTTCTTAGATCCGTGTGGAAGCCATACACACCCAGGAGAAATGTGAACAACTTCGTCGCCTGAACATGTCCCCTCTTCAGGTTCTTAAGTCGTGACTGTAAATGATTATGCTCCCTGAGGTTGGGGATATGTGTGCAGGGGCATGAAATGAGTCCCGATGGCTTCAATCTGGTCGTGGCCGCTGGCCAGTCGCTGCCGCTCTGGGAACATTGTCGTCATCCAGGTACACCACCTCCAGGCGGCGCTCGAGATCAGCCTCGAGTTGATCAACCAGAGAAGAATCTAAATCTCCTTAGTTGTGATCGTGATTCTGACCAAAATTGACCTTACCATATAGCCCAGCCGCGCCACCCCCTCCCATACCGATATCCACGCCGCATTCAAGAGCGGAGATTCCATCGCTGTCGCCCTCGTGCTCTAAACCAGGGATGCCAACAGGTACTGCATTGGCACCAGTCGCGCCTTCGTAGTGTCTCAGCAGTTTCATTCCTCTGCTGTGTCGTCCTGGGGTACTTCCACTCCCAATTGCATCAACAACGTTAGACATGTGTTCGATGAGACATGAATATATTCTAACAAGCGGCATTGGTACGGCATAGCCATCGTCAAAGAATTCGAGGTATATATATTCTGGATAGTAAGCGGCCAAGCCGGATGGAAAAAGAAATAAGTGGCACATTCAAAGTCCTTTGCTCTTAGAACGGAGGTGGCCTTCGTTGATGATGCGTATTCCGTTTAACTTGAAAATAGTGGCCCTCTGTCCTTCATCCTATGCTGTCAATTATCTTCGATACAACGGTCTCTTTGACGTTGTTGAGTACTCTTGAGGGACATATTCTGTGACAGACTGTGGCACTTATTGTTGAATCCGGCTCGGGGCATCGGTCCAAGGAAATGGAATGTGATTATAGCTCTCTAGCAGCGTTCCAGCGACCAGGCCCAATGCCCTCTGCTCCAGGTCCAGGCTAAGCCAGGGACAGTGGCAAAGGCCTTCCCGTACTTTACCAATCCGACAATGCTAGTTCTATGAAGCCAAACCACTCTGCGTACGTGTCGTGGCCAAAACCAAGATGACTTGGCCCTCGATTGCGTTCAGGCCTTCTGGTAAAGAACCGATAATGGTCGAGAAGATGACAAGAGTGCTTGGGCATCCATCTTAGCTGCCCGTATACTAGCATTGGTGGTCGCGATCTCGGTGTCGGTATTTGGTGTGGTCTCCTTACTGATAGAAGCAACCCAGCATTGAGATGACGAGCATGTGAAGTCCTTTGTGATTACCAGAGAGTATGAAATAAGGCAGATGCCGCTGGAAAAGCCCTTTCGAGGCGTCAGCCGCTGGTTTAAATAGTACAGCGAGCTGAGCTTGATCACAGGATAAAGAGTGACACAGCGAGAGAGACCGTGCCGCAGTGGAGAACGCCTTGCAAGAGCGGGGGATGCTCTGCCGCCCGATATACTGGCTAGAGAGGCCGAGAAGCCAGCCACGGCGCATGTAGCTGCAACCATGGAGGCTTGTGATACCGGTGATCCGGTGTCTGCACATCTCGCCCTGGCTCGAAAAGCGTGTCAGGAACATGGGGAACACGTATGTTCTTCTAAACTTGACCACTGGAGCCTATCGAGGACAAAATCTCCGTCTATCCCAGGGACGCCGAAGTAGTGTATCCAGAAACTGTGAAGATCCAGTGTTGTTACAGACGCCAGCCTCAATGTGCTTTGCAACTACTATTATCTTACCCACCAGCGACCCCAGCTTCCAGAGAAGGGATACAAACCGAACTCCCGCTAGACCCGGATGAGCCAAGTTCTCAGCTTTCACTCCGTATTTATCACCCGCCACGGGTTCATAGGTGTCGATCCAGCTGATATGCAAACAGATGATCGGTGGCGCTGATTCTGGGTGCGAACGCCCCGTTCATTTTGCGTCCAGGGAAACAACGGAATGACAGTGATTCGGGCTGATCAAGATGGCACTTTCATGACGAAGACGGAAGATTGGGCGAGAAGCGAATCGGCAAGCTCGGCAAGTATCGAGGCTCGTCCAAGTCAAGGGTCACCGAGTCGTCATTGAGAATCTGCCGAAAGAGATAGTGTCCCCCTCATTATCCAAAATCCACCAAAACAAAGGCCAGGTCGTCTCGTTTTTGACCACGACGCGTGCCCAAAGTGGTCTGGCTTCACAGAAGTAGCATTTGAAATGGGGCCTCCAAACTTCTTGCAGATTGTCCACAGGCTCCTAGGAGTGGAGGAAATTGTATGAAAAACAGGGAGGACCTGTTCTGGGTATATGTTCTGGTCCTGTTTGCAGCCTGGTCGAATGCGAAGGGATTGAGTGAGAAGAGCAAAGGCTGAGGTAATATCTATCAGGCATATGCGCTAGTACAACTATGTAATAACTTGTGCGAGGTTAAGTATCCCTAAGCTAGGGCATGCCAAGCCCCTAACGTTACACAATGACCTAATCACGTGTATAGACATTGACACTGGCGGATGGTAAGTATCACTTCGCCTGTGCAGGCGCGCACCAGATAGTCTAGTAAACTACTTTCAATCAACTCCCTGTTCGTGTCCTCCAAAAAGCACACTCAAACAAACTCCACCCACCGACCCACCACTCATGCCCGTCATTCCTACGGCAGCCTCGCTTCATTCCCGACAGTAGAATGGGAGCACCCAAGGATCGACAAGATGCTATCGTCTTTTTGACCCCGTGACCCTATGACATTGCGGCTTCAAAAAATTGAAGGCTGGTAAGTCATCGAAATTGGATCAAGATGTGTCATTCAACTACCCGTCCCTCCTGGAACGGAGAATTTTCCACATTTGAACCAATGTTTTGGCAAACCTAAGTGACACCGAATCAAATCCCGTCAAGTTGCCTTTGTCTACGAGCCAAATAAAATATGTTCCAACTTTGGTTACGGAAGACAAGCTGTCGGCACTGCGCCTATCCCCTGTACGAGCCAACTATGCAGCTGTCTTGGAACACGGCATATTGTGTTGCTGGTGAGGTTGCCCATGTGAAAGAAGGACTCCCTTGTCAAGGCAAAATGGGGAAGATCTCGGGCATGCCAACATCATAAATATCAGCATCCAGCCTAGCCGGACTTGTCGTCATTGCCCTTCCCCTCAGAGATCTTTCGGACGCCATCAATACTTGCTTCTTTGCAGGATGATGAAGCGCGAACAGCACCAAATGCATTGGCCAGTATTTCTGACTTCAAATACGAGTATGGACCTAGCGAAAAAGAGAAAAGAAAAAAAAGGGTAAAAAGTTATCAGCCTCCGCACCGTTCGGGTGGTATCATCATTGCCCTCAGCTCAGAGATCCTTCGAATTCTGGTGGACGTCGTAAAGGGGTTGTTGACGGTTTCTGCCTTTCACTGTTCTCAAGTGAGAGGCATCATTGGTGATGCTACTTCGGCAGACCTAGAGACACGGATTCTAGGATTTGGCCACCAACATTTCAGATGCTTGCGAAAGGAGTGATGGTCGTCGTTGGCGTATCATCTGTAGTCGTCTCGACCCCAATGTTGAGAATATCTGTGAAGCTGAGAATTGTTAAGTTGGCAGAGAGCACTGGTCTATTCTCAGACATGTCTGTCTATCTGGGCTTTCAGCGAGTTCCCTCCCGCTTATATAGACATTTTGCCTGTACGGCATGTGTTAAGAATGCCACCCCTGAACGTCTCCCCTCGACTTTTTTCCATGACAAGGGCGTCCTGCTGTAAAGAGCGCGGCCGATCAAAAGCATAAAACCACGTGGCGATCAAGGAATAGTTCACCAAACTACTAACGGCTAACTTGGTACCGATGATCTATTATTTACCCTGATCGTTGACCTATCTTATGTATACAGTCCCACTGGGTAGACCTCTCCGAGGATCGGCGACGAGGTCGTCAACGATGTCGCCTTGATGTATGAGTACCTATATATCTGCTAGATTGAGCTATCTAATGAATCTATTCCCCAGAGCTACAAAACAGTGTGGAGAGTTCATAGTACGTATAGACGCAAATCGAAAGAGGCAAGATGCGTTAGGCGGCTGAAGGATAACACGAAAACACCACCCATGTTTGAAAGCGGCGGACCTGCTACACTGTACTGTGCCGTGCCGGAATGCGATCAAGGGAAACAAGAAAGGGAAAGGGGAAGGAAAATAAGCCGAGACTTGGGATAGGCGGACCCAGCTGGCTTTTTATCATTCCATGCATGGAGTAAAGGTCATGGCCTGTCATAACGTCAGCCCGTACAGACCAGATTAGTACACAAGGATAGGGCAGACAGGGTCTCGTTTGGCTGTCGGAAGGTGGATGAATATAAGATTTGACGGAGATATTATTGTTGTCAACTCTCGTGTCTCCAGACAAAGAACTATTATAGGCACTGACATCTCCTTCCAAGCCTACATAATACTACCTACACGCAATTCCTTTCTGGAGGCCAGGGGTTTGGGAGAAGATCGAACAATCAAAGGGGAGCTACCTTGTAGGGAACAAGCGGAAATTTTGATCTCTGGAATAAAAGGAGGATGTTCAATGTACAAGTTTCCCGCCTCTCTCATCAATTCTCGACCCTTAGCTTCTAACTTCTTCACATCAACTCTCCCTTTTTCGCTCCGAGGACTCGATGCAATGCTTTTTACCAGAGCTTGTTTCGCCCTTGCATCACCATCTCATTCCATCTTCTCTCCACCTGCAGAAGTTACGACTTCTCCAACTCGGCCAAAATCTTTTCTCCCTTGGCCCTTGCGCTTTCGAAGTCGCCCACCATGTAAAAAGCACCTTCCGGGAGATCATCGCCTTCGCCATTAATAATCTTCTGGAAACTGCTTATCGTATCCTTCAGATCCACGAGCTTGCCTTCAATACCGGTAAAAACCTGTGCGACGGTAAAGGGTTGGGATAGGAAACGTTGCAATTTCCGGGCTCGTTCGACAGTCAGCTTGTCGGCTTCGGAAAGTTCGTCCATACCCAAGATGGCAATGATATCTTGGAGGGATTTATACTCTTGCAACATCTGCTGGACACGGGAGGCGGTGTCATAGTGTTCTTGTCCCACGACACGAGGATCCAACATGCGGGACTTAGAGTCGAGAGGGTCGACAGCTGGGTAGATACCCAATTCGGAAATACCACGAGACAACACGGTGGTGGCGTCCAAATGTGCGAAGGTAGTGGCAGGGGCGGGATCAGTTAAATCGTCGGCAGGTACGTAGACGGCCTGCACGGAAGTGATGGATCCCTTTTGAGTGGTGGTGATACGTTCCTGCATGGCACCCATGTCGACGGCAAGGGTGGGTTGGTAACCGACAGCAGATGGGATTCGACCAAGCAAGGCAGACACCTCGGAACCGGCTTGAGTAAATCGGAAGATGTTGTCGATGAACAGCAACACTGGGATCCGCGTCAGTAAAATGTCCGAGCATCCAAGTAGACAAGTCCATACCATCCTGTCCTTCTTCGTCACGGAAATACTCGGCAACAGTCAAACCAGTCAAGGCCACACGAGCACGAGCCCCAGGGGGTTCGTTCATTTGACCGAACACCAGGGCGACCTTGGATTCACCATCAAGCTGAATAACAGAGGTTTCCTGCATTTCGTGGTACAGATCGTTACCCTCACGGGTGCGCTCACCGACACCAGTGAAGACAGAGTAACCACCGTGGGCTTTAGCAATGTTGTTCTAGATTTGTCAGCTGTTGTATCTCCCATGTCCAGGCGTACTTACGATCAATTCTTGAATAAACACAGTCTTGCCGACACCTGCGCCACCGAAGAGACCAATCTTCCCACCACGGGCGTAAGGAGCTAACAAGTCCACGACCTTGATCCCGGTAACCAAGACCTCGGCGGTTGTGGCTTGCTCAATGAACTCGGGCGGGTCTGCATGGATGGGAGACAGTTTGGTGGCTTTGATAGGCCCTCTTTCATCAATAGGGTCACCGGTGACGTTCATGATGCGGCCTAATGTTCCAGGGCCAACTGGAATCTTGATCGGAGAGCCAGTATCAGTAGCTTTGTGACCTCGAACGAGACCCTCGGTACCTTGAATCTCAAGTTAGATTTGGGCGATTGATTTGTGCAGGTACTCATACCATCCATAGCAATACATCTCACGACACTCTCACCCAGATGTTGCTGCTCACCATTAGATTCCGGGCTGCCAGACAACATCTCATCATTTGTTTCATACCGCAACTTCCAGGACAAGCTTCTGGCCATTGTTATCGGTCTCCAGGGCATTGAGAATAGGAGGGAGTTGTTCGGTATCGAATTTCACTAGACGAAAGCCATCAGCTTCATTCATCGGCCCGCTCTCGCATGTTTGTTGTAATTGTCCAAGCTCTGTGGGAGCTCTCATGGGCGCAGGAAAGGAGGAAATTTTTTCTCGTACCGTCAACGACAGCACCAATGACCTGGTGGATCTTGCCGTCTCTTGGGGAGTCTGTTGAGGCCCATCGCTGTGCAAGAGCTGGACCGGCCTGTTTCCGTAGGGGCTCGAAGGCGCGTCGGGAGATGGAAGGTCGAGCAAGGGCAGACCTGCCCAAGCTACGGGCGATGCCGCTGTTCAATCGGTGTTAGCAACAGGCCGTAAAAGCGCTTGTGGAGCTCTGCAAGTGTTTGATGAGAAGCTCACGAACCTCTTGAGCATGTTTGCGGATGAACGAGAAGGTGAAGATGGAAAGGTAGAGGGGAGAGTTGGTGTGGGATCAGGAGCAAAGAGAAGAAACTTGAAGTCAAAGGAATCAAAGTTGCTGTTCATTGAGCTCGGTTCTGCGCTATGCCTAATTGGGAGCCTCTGTTAGCCCGACAAGGCCCGGTTCTACTTGGTAGGATCTCCGGAGTTGCCTCGCCAATTTTCGCGAGCCACCATCGTCGTAAATTAGACACGTACGATAAATGAAGAAGACTTTAAGAAGGATAATGCGCATCTTCAGCAACTTAAAGCATGGGAAATAAAGGAACAGCTTTGGGCTATCGATTTCAATCACCGTCCACGTTAATCTATGTACAGTCTCACGAACCAGAGGCGCCTGAAAAGCACAGCTGCAGGGAAGGATGTTGATATTTTTTTTGTATTCACAAAACACAATGAGATCCCTGCTTTCTGGAGATACTAGTCACAGTAAAAAAGACCACCATCTGCGCTGGCGCAAGCACGTGTGTCTTTGCTCCTTCACACCATCGTTGGTTATTCATCCGGTTCAAGCTTAATGCCCTGAGACTTTGCAGACTTGCTTTGAACGAAGCCTGGGCCGGTGTATCCTTCACGGCTGATACCATACATAGGATTGGTTTTCTCGGACTGCAGATGGGGTTTGTCAGCTTGACTCCTAAGCAGCGGGAAACGTTGCGAGGTCATCATGAAACTCGCGAAGATCAACTCACCTTGAGGTATTCATTGGTAGCTTCTTGCCATTCTTTGGTCATAGTCCGTGGTGGCGGTCTTGCAAAAGATTGGATGAGGAGGAACATAGCCAACGATATTCCAAGACCAACAGCTGTGTAAAGCCACACCTTGGTCCATTCGCCCGGGGGTGCTTCGGCACGGGGTCCGTGAGGTCCAAATGCAATCCACCACGCTGTCAAAGCATCAGTAAAAGTTCCCCAACTTAATCTTATAATCTGCTCCAGCTCGACAGCGGGAATCCAAGCTTCATGAAGCATATCATCCCAGTGCCGCATTCCTCCGCGGGGAGACAGAGGTCGATACATACCAGCTTTCTTCTCCTGCAAAGTCATCTCGTTCCAATCAACCTTCATACGATCTCTCAATTGCATCCAAAGCTCGGCCTGCTCTTGTGGAGGCATAGCTTCCCATCTCTTCTCAATTCCGGCGAGGGTAGGGTTGGAGATGGCGTGAGCAGATCGCATGTGAGACTGGCTGGTCATCGGAGGGACATGCTGGGTAGCTGCAAAAGTGGGAGCCAGAGACCGCGCTGAGGATTGGAAGGATCGAATTGAGGGAGGTGTGATCCGGGTGCATGCTGTCGAGGTGCTGGTGGAAGCACGAGCTACACGGGGTAAGGAGCGGAGATACATGTTGCTGGAAGAGTGTGAAGGTTGGATCAACACATACGAAAATCGACCTTTCAATACCCTGCCGAAGCCTGGAGCTCGGCAGCCGCTGTCGTAGCAGGTTGCTTGTGGATTGAACCTGGTGAATGCGAGAACGAATGTCTAAGGTCGTTGGTTTGAGTTCCAAGTTCAATCTACATCTGCAGAGGATTCGCTAGCTCCTGGCCTTGGCGCTGTGTAAAATTACCGCTACATCAGCCTTTATCACCCCACAGGCACCACAGGCACCCTCTCGGTATATCGTGTCATTAAGCTGAGACAACTATCTGCGGCTCGATGGGAGACTACTTGGAAAAAACTATGATACTTACAGCCCTAAGACGTCGCTGCCAACGGAACAAGCATTCGAGTCAACAGACACTACTGTATACGAAAGGAGCATCAATACTTGTCACAGTTGAGTACTGAGAAATACCAAAATTACAACTCCGATCTGCCGCAGAGCAGTCATGGATTTGCGGCCCAAACATCGGGGCGAATGGACTGACACACACGATATCGCGCGGAAATGCAAAGGCGTGGTTTTTCAACAAGACGAAGTCATTCGAGCGCAATGAAGCACATGTCGGCTCCAGGCTGCTGGGCCATGGCTGGTCCTTAATACTCTTCGAACAGCACAATAGGTTCAGAAAGACCCGGAGTTTTGAGGTAGGAAAAAATGCTTCCAGTTTTGATTCGAGACCATCTATCTCGTGTCGTTCAACGTCACAGTGCTCTATCTTCGTCACAGCATCAAATAACGGGCGTGCTCCAATGGCGCATACTCAACCTATCTGCCATGCTCGGCTCGTCGGAAGACGTGCCCTTTGGTCTCAGATGCCACAAGATCAACGTACACCTTGTGGTAAGTGTGTTCTGTTGCCGGTATTCGAGGTGTGGTCCAACCGCCTCCACTGTCAATTCACCCTTAGACTGTGCCTTTGCCTTTGCTAGCTTCCTTGAGCAGATCGGCCCACTCCAACTCGCCAGGCTCGTTTGCTTGCCAGTTCATGGCAATTCCGTTGAGGGCGTTCTTCAGGGTCTCGCGGGAGCTGGCATAGACCATGCGGGACTGCGCAAGAGATTAGGCGTGATGGTCTCACCGGAGTGTGGGCAGTCATACCTTGACACCGGTGTTGTCCTGATTGATATAAGTGATGAATGCAATCTTGGATCTTGATCTGCATTTCAGTATACGCATCCTACAAGCTGACTGAATCTCATCGTGCATACCTTTTGCCTTCACCGCCCTCAAGTTCGAATTCGACATCGTAAATGGCGTACGAAGGACGATCCTTGCCACTGGCCTCCTTCTTGGCAATGAGTTTCTCTCTGAAGGTATCGTAGTCTGGTTCGCTGCCGACTTCGTCTACCACAATTTCCTTCTGATCATCCGAGATCTTGTAGATGATGTATTTTGGACCGCCGCGACCGAGTTTCAGCTCATTGAATTTTGAGACGCAGTCGGGGTTGACGGAGAGGCTAATGATATCAAGGCATTAGAGAGGCACGCCGACGTGCAAGGGGGCATCGGGCTCTTTTAAGGCAGATTGGATGGACATACCCGGACACAGGCTGTAGGGAAGGGTCAGCTGAAGCGGAATTCCGGGATGGATTCAAGAACTCACCATGACTGCTTATTGAGGTTCCAGATACCTATGCGACTCGGTTTCAAGCTGGTATTGCCGTCAGTTTCAGCAGAGAGTGAGATGGCGCTTGGAGCGATGCGGGCGTCAGGAAGCGAAGATAGGAACATAGAGCGTTGAACAGGCAAGGCGCCAACGATCGGGTGCTGTCTAGGACAGGGGCTTACGTACCTTGCGAAGGATTATGGTGCAAGACTGGACAAAGGCAAAGCAAAAGAAAGTCCAGATTGCGTGTAGGGCGGCAGGCAGAGGACAAGGCAGTGTTTTGGTGGGATGGAACAATAATAACGGGGACGCTGTGGCAGCAAAAAGAGAGAGTCAATGGTGGGGTCCAGATTTGATACTCCGAACTGCGCCCCGACGCGCTCAATCACAACGAGGGGTTCGACAGGCTGCGCCGGTTGGCGGTGGCAGCGGTGGGCAGGCAGGTGACAGTTGCCCAGCAGCAAGTTTGACGGTTGGCAGGGGCGAACGCCCAGAAATCCAGCTCAGTCCTCGTCACCATCGTGTTTCCCTCACCGATACGTTCCTCGCATCAACTCCGAGGTGCTACTCCATACTCGTTAGGTATCATTCTGATAAACCTTCACCCTCTTTGCTGGGTGCCTGGGACCTCTTCCAGCTATCTATGTAGCCACTCCCTCCAACATGCTATAAGCTGCTCGAGAACCTGCCCTCTCCAGCTGTGAGCCTGTGCCCATGATTACGATATCGCTCAGGTGTACGAAGTATTCTGCGATTGGTCATGCCTCCGGGTATCTTTCGCCCTCCATCGAGCTAAGTGCTCGCTACCTCTCGTTCTGCAATCCGAGGACGCGGCTTCTGGGTGAGCGCACGAAGCAGTCAGGGAGAGGTTTGTATGCTATGGGCAGGCAGCCTCGATACTCTCGCGGGATGCAAGTGGACTGGTTAGTAAACGACGTTGTGCTTCAATACTTCACCACCTATCGCAGGTTCTGCCTTGAAACAATGAATACGAGGCAGACATCCAGCGGTCTATGGACACTTTGCGTTTTGAAGCACTGTGCCCCTGGTGTGATTCCGATGGTACTTGGAAAGACCGCCTCTGTCTTTTCATCCAAGGATCAATGTCTTTCCAGGGTCCTGGTCGCTTCTCGGACCTCGCTGCATTCTCATCAATCAGAAACGTTATCGACAGGATCAAGGTCCTGTTGTGGTAGCTGTGGGCGACTCAACAACTCCTGTGGATTAAGCTCCAACAGATAGGGAGTCATAATATCGAATGTGAGAAGTGGTGAAGGAAATTCACCGCGCGATTCTTTCCGTGGGACTGTTCACAAACTCAACGCATTAGTCGGTTACAGAACAACAGCATCTGGTGCTGCATGCGACCACCTTAGCTGGAGAATGATGTTACCTTCAGGTTGCCGGAGGAAGTTCATCCATTACACAAACCAGTTGGACTTACCTCATCAACAACAAACATGAATTCGGGGGAATATGGGTATATTTGAGGCCAAAGACTCTCAGCCCAGTGCTCAAGAGACTATATAGGAAACCAAGGCCTATCCATCGCGCTCGATCTGGATTGACTGACCTTCCGGAACATTCCCCCTTCCCTTGTTAACATGATATATTCTTTGCTCTCTCCATTGCAACTTTTTCATTTTTTCTACCTCTGCCATCCATTGTGACCCTCTCAAACTCAGCCAGAGCTCGTTGCCGCTCGCCACATCCATATACGTCACGTGTGAAAAGCTCTTCGTCAACAATCATGTCGTTCACCTGGGACGACACCTCAGAAAAGCTCCTACTGTTCAGTATGATCGAAAACTGCTCGATGGCGAAGTTCGAACTGGCGGCTAAGGCAATCGGTGGTGGAGTGAGTAGAAATGCCTGTCGGTCAGTTCACTCTAATCTCACAACTTTCTTTTTAACAAGTCTGGGGTTTGAACATTCACATTTGCCGGTCCCTGATTTCTTCACACTCTCACTGTTACCACACATCTCATTTGCCTGGTTGAACATCACCACCCCTCAAGACGGCTTCTTCGCTCCATAACGTTGAGACAGACTGTCCCCCTATCCCTCCTTCACTATCCCTAAGTCTTCACAATGCCTTTCAAGTGGGATGCTGCATCCGAGCGCAACCTGCTCCTCTTTGCCATTGCGGAAATGAGCCCACCAGCCACTTCGATTTGGCCTAGGGTTGCTGAGAAACTCGGCAATGATCTTAACGCGAGTGCCTGCAGGTATCATCACTTTTTGCTCACTGTTTTATGATGTTTCCCTTTTGTCTCTCCATCGATTTCGAGGTGTTCCCGTTCCAAATATCAGACCATCTTGCTGATTTCCCGAATCTGTAGTCAAAAATTCTACAAGTTGAAGAAAGAGAGTGAGAAGCTACTTCATCAGGGCGATTCGACTGTCGGTGGTGACGCTGCGACCCCATTCAAGGATGCCAAGACCGCAAAGACGCCCGCAAGCAAGGGTACATCTGGACGCAAGCGAAATGTCGCAGATGTTAATGGAGAAGAGCCAAAGACGCCCACAAAGCGTAAGCGGAATATGAAGAATGTCGCTCCAGCTGAACCCGAAATCAAAGGGGAAGTTGAAGAGGAGAAAATACCCGCCGTCAAGTCTGAGGACGAGGTGAGCAAAGGCGAATGAGAAGGTTCATCTTCTACTCTGGTATACCCTGCTGTCTTCGCTCGGGGGTTCTGCGGCTGACTCTTCATCGGGCTCACGTCCTTCGACCCCCTAAACCTCAAGCAATATTACTCGCTTACAACGTCCCTGGAGGAACGGCAAATCTCACTTGCGGGATTTGGTTCGCTCGGCTGGATACTATGGGCTGCATGGCGGGCATCGGCTTGGACGGGCTGTGGTATGACATGATAGGATATTGCTTGAGCTGAGACTTGGCATGAAGAAGGATTCGGTCGACGGAACTCGACAACAAGTCACTGTCAACCTTGTGCCTGGACTCAAAACACTGACCATCAACATGCAGAGAACGGGTGCATCAGTCCCGCACTCCAACCACTGAAAGCACGCTAGAAAGTTGAAGAATCCCATCGCCCAGGGCAATCGGACTCAAATCAGTCTACCTCGTATTGCCGAATCGCTCCCTGTGCTTCGTTCCTTGAACGTGAGCGAATCCCACTTCTTTCACACTTATTCGAGACCCTCAAAAGTCTAAGGCTAGCGTAGTCAACCATTTAGCACATGTGATATATCATATCTGGGAAAGTCGGCAGGTAACAAACGGTGAAAAAGCAAATTGACGGAGAAAAGGCTGAAAATCGAGGTAGAAAAAGTGAGCGAGTGTTTCAATGCAGACATTGCGGTCCGAATGAGAGCGGCCAACCGCCTGGGAATCGCATGCGAGAAGGACATTCTTGCATACCAAAGTTGCCTTCTCCGTGCTAGTCTGCGACCATGTGTCCAATCAAGTGCTGGCCCAAGACACGAAATGGAGGGTGCAGATGCGTGTTGTAATGACACTGTCATCGGAAGTCAATAGCAACAAACATGCCAAGAAGCCAAAGGCGGCCTGTCGTCACGACGCCGCAGCTTTCGCCCCTCTCATACTTGCTCCTGCTAGCTCTTCCTTGCTCTTTCTTGCCATTTCCAGTCCAAATTCCGATGGGTCCAGAACGCGGGACTTGGTCCTGTTTCTGTTCAAGCAGCAGGGGACTAATGGAGGGAAGAGACCATCGACTCAAGACCCTCCTCCATGCCGCTCCCAACTCCATGTCATTTACTGCACTTCTCTTCTTTTCGACTAATTGCCAACATGGCAGCAGCCAGAATCTCCAATACTTCTTCAATCTGGGACTTCAAAGATACCCTATTCAGAGCATTGGCGGCAGCTTGCGCAGCGATGGGCGAGGAACCTGTGAGAGTTCAATTTCTGTCGAGTTGCGTTCGAACTAACGATTTGCCAGTTCAGACGACAATTGAAGACAATCGCGACTTATTACGGAGAGGGGGCAACATACCATGAGATCGAAACCCTCTTCACAAAGGACATCCCCGCAAAAGCAGAGGAACTTAAACTCGAATTTGCCCATCGCCACGACTGTGGCAGACAAAGGCCTTCGAGAGGCATAGCAGGATCTCGTCGGCCACCTCTGCTAGACTTTGATGACGAGGGTCTTAGCATCCTTAGCCCTGGAGAGGTCGAAATATTGAAAGCTCGGTCTAACAATTCACTCCGAGCTCCTGCAAAACGTCGTCGAGTTATTGAAGCATCACCTCGAACACCGCCAGCCGGAGACGCACCAGCAAGCAAGCCCATGGCACCTCATCTAAGAGAGCCCGGCAATGGGCGGGTAACGACAACTAGAACTGCAGCAAACGATTTGGGGGTGGCCCTTTGTGTTTCTTCGCATATCGCAGGGCAGAATCATGCCGATTGCCTCACTCGAGAAACCATTACCCAGACCCGAAAACGCACATCCTCAGAGTTTCATGATCCGATTGAGCTCCCGACCGCAAGTAATCCTCACCTGAGTGCGCCACCGAGATTTGAATCTTTCGGTTACGTCACGAAGAATGGTGAGTATCGGTGTGCACTTTGCCAGAGGCAACTGCCCGACGAAGGAGACCTTAAGCTACACGAACAAATCAGCAAGGATCACATCCGCAGCTTGAAAGATAAGCAAAAGGTTATCCAAGGCCGTGAGAGACTGGCCAAGCTTACTGCAGCACGAACTGAAGGACACCCTACGGGTCCCTCAACGCAATGCTGCCGACTGAGTATCAACGATCTACTTGCATCAAGTCCTAGACCCCCGGCCGCCGTGCGTTCGGGTCTTGAAGAAAGTGATAACAGCTTTGAATATGAAGTCTCTGTGCGCCAAAATCATGACCGTCAAGATTCCCCAATGGACGTCGACGAGACACGGCGACACGATCCCAGTGCGTTGCCAATTCGACAAAGTGTTGATCACGCAGCCTCCATGTCACCAGCAAGACCCTTACAGATTTCTGACAAGGGCAAAGACCGCGCCGCTTCGCTTATGTCTCTGTCGGATGATTCTACTCCACGTCCAAACGCCCTGCCTGCACTGGCCTCGGAGATATACACGCGGTCTATGACCGCTCAGACTGAAATCGGTACGCTTGACACTCCTCACCCGGCCCAATACATTGGCTCGGCTCCTACGAAGCCGTCTCATAGCCTCGAGGCAAAACCGGCTGATGGAGCACCTGAGATCTCAGCTAGCACTATCAACGAGATCTTGCGCTCAACTGGCGTCGCTATTGACGTATTGCACGCTTTCCGGAATTCTGCGTCCGCTTGGGTCGAGTCCAACAACACCACCTTTGAGTCCGGGTCTGCGACTATTCCTGAGTCGAAGTCAGAGGCTCTCTTTAAAGAGGACAGTGCCGGTCCAACCGACAATTCTGCTCTTCCCACGACCGTGCTTTTAGAGACCCTGGATGATGCGGGTCCGCCAAGGGGCTCGAATCCTAACAGCAGAACTGATGAGCAGGGTACGATATCAGGGCCAGGGATTAAAGTACGTCTAGGTGTCAGACGTGAAGATGTTAATGGCTGTGGAAAGAAGAAGGATGTGGGCGAGCCAATATCTGTCATTGTTCTTGACTAAGTGTTCCCTGGCGGATATGATATTCCATCTCTCTGTTCTTATTCCCTCGTTCCAAGCCACAAAGTTGATTAGCACGACAGCGTTAAGCAAAAAAGCTCCTTGGTTGTTTGTTCCCAATACAGCTCCGACTCTATTCTTTTCTGCTTGAGTTTTTGTTGACTAAGCTCGAACACGTCTTACTTCCCCTCGCGTCCGTCCGGATCTCTGAGGCGCATTGAACAATTCTCATCGATAAATCTTATCCCGCCGCTAACACCCCTCATCCTACCCAGCAATATCCAACATCGATCGGTGGAAGGAGAGTCAGAGTCCCTCCCCAGGGGGCCCTTCACACGTCTAGGCCCTTCTCTGACCAAGGTGGCACAGCGGGCGTTTTTCTGAAACCAAGCAAGATAGTAGAATCCCTCTCGCCACTAGCAGGAAAAGCTCTAACTCTCAGTCTTTATCTTCTTGTTGATGTCGTGCTCGCGCTCCTGGAAGTCATTCAGGGTTCGCTTCTTCTGAGACATGTAGAGGGGGATCTGCGTCATGCTCCAGCCGGTGATCTCTCCCATGGCGGTGGTGCCGAGAGGCGTTGTTCCGGCCGTCGAATCCGCTGGGGAAGGGAGACTGTAGGTGACGCCCAAACCTTGAAAATCGCTGGCTTCCACCTTTACCCGGTTTACGCTAGGGGGTTCCTGGGCAAATGGCTCCCCGGCGGCCTTCAGTGCTCGTCCACGTTTAACGTTAGGCTTTCCCTCGCTTTCGTCGTCGCCACGCCCACGCTTCCCAGCACATGCAGCCTTGGGAACGGCATAACCATTATTACCGGTTGGTGGGTTTGTAGTAGTAACGATATTCAGACCATTACGCTTCTTGATCTCACTGAGTCTCTTCGCAACCGTGTTCGGCTTAGCCCCTGTCTTTTGGCAGTAGGGGCTGATGTAGAACTATCAAGCGAGAGGGAGTCAGTATTATCATTGAGAAGGGGGAGAATGATGTAACGAGGTGAGAAATACGTGGTCCAGGGTCAGGTGAGGTGAGGTGACTTTGATGAAAGCGCGAGGTGGTGAGTTGGACAAGGAGCCAGCGAGTTGACGAGAACCAGCGAGGGGAACGAGGAGAACAAGGCCAGAAACTTACCAAGATAGGCTGAGGGGAATCGCGCATGAGCTCGAGGAGGAACATGGCATCCTTGGTGCTGAGCTCCTGCTTGGAGCTAGCCTGTTGTGTTGGTGCCATGTTTGCAGAGGACACGGAGTGATTTGTCGAACGTTTCGAACAAGAGAATAGTGCGCGAAAGTATTGAAGTAGCTTTGGGATGAAGTTGATGGATGGATAGACGAGTTGAAGAGGTCGAGTGGGCAAGCAAGCTCCAAGGAAATGGTGGAGAGAAAGTTATATGTGGGCAAAGTTCGGAATGAGTGGAAGGTGACTTTTGACATGAAGGGCGGGAGGCTTTTGGAGGCTGCTCGTTCAAGAGTAGAACTCCCCGAGTCACTGGTACATTTGGGCTGCGATGATTAGAAGTCAGAATCGTAGCAGCAAAAATTCGGAGGCTAGGAGTTTCGTGAAAGGAAATTCCCGTACGTGCAGCTCGCTGGTGGGAAAGCTAACCATCAACCGGGCAATGGTCAGGAGACTAGGAGATGAGGGCATGGACGCCTGGGCTGCCCGGTCAACAATAGTTTGGAGCAAAGTACAATCTAGTCGGTCCATTTCAATATTCCACGAGTCCTGTGCAGCTCTCGCTCTTACTCTAGCTCCTCCGTTGGTGCTGTTGCCTGCCATCGAGGAAGAGAGCTCCGCAGAGGAACGGGTTGGTCTTACCAAACCATGCAGAGCCTTTGCATGTCTTACGCAAGTCCCCTGGACAAGGAAACTCATCGAGAGAGTCAATTGGAGGATACAGAACCGGTCTCCAGGGCTAAGAGATATATCTCTTGCAAGGGGAGTTTGGAAAAGAGGCGGCGTGGATTCCCAAAGGGGTCGACGACGAGGGGTCGATCCCCTTTCCTCATCAAAGAAATATCCGCGCATTGCCCCCATCTGCCGCGCACTTTCAGACAGGGTTATCCAGGACAGCTCCAATAACAGGAGACATGCAGGTTGGTATAGCTCTACCATCAGGACGAGTCATTGCGAGGTTTCAACTTTCGTGGTCGAGGCCTGCTCCACCCGAAGCTTGATTGAGTTCCTTATTGGGCGTGCCAAGACTCAGCTAATGCGCGGCCAAGAAGCTAAAACTCCAGGGCAAAATGGACGACAAGTCTACATATACAACGCCAGGCACACAGGTTTATAAACTGTTTGATATCCACGAAATTCAGGAGGCTGGGAATTCCAACATGATGCCCGCACGTTCCCATCTTTCCCAACCCCCCGTTTGCCTCGCTACTGGATCATCCAGTAGCTGACATCCACCCAAGCCAATTGAAAGTCGCTTTTTGCGAATCCCCAACCGTTCTTGCCGGTCTTTTCACACCGTTTCTGAGTCACTTCCATGCGTATTTCCGCTAATCCTTGCAGCCATTGCACAATCCTTGTGCCACCGGCAACCCTGGGACCCCTTCCTCAGGCCATGAAGCTCCTGCTGCTGCTGTTCCCACTTCTCTGCCCGTTCATCAGCTCGCCCATGTTCACCGCTGGGAAAAAGGTTGTTGGAGTGAAGTGTGCGTCGTAGTTATGGAATGAGTCCAGACCGCTCACCGCTATGTCCTCGTACTTGACCTTCTGAGGACTGTCGGGCTCTTGGGTGAATGGTATGCCGTCGAATGACTTCTGTTTAGGTTTTCGAGCTCGCTTTGATGGAGGCGTCTTCTTCTCGTCCTCGTCTTCGGCTTTGCGCTTTGTTGGTGTCGTTGGGGTCAGGGCTCCTTGATCCTTCAACATCTTTTCCATTTCGTGTCGCAGCTTATAGTATTTTTGGCTGCCACACGTCAGCAAATCCCACGGGTACTTTATTTAAGGGTCAAGTGACACAGACCTCACAGCTGATGCGGTCAGTCCTTCTCCCAGGAGAGCCGCGACCCGCTGCCATGTGTCGGCGGAAGGTCTCAGATTGGCGGAGGAAATCGCGAAGAGCAGCATGCGACGCTCTCGTTCAGCAGTCCATTGATAAGGCATAGTGGAAAAGAAGACAATGGTTTGAGCAACACGGACAACCAAGGAGCAACACCGTTGAGAATGAACTTAGGAAGGGAGTGAGTGGAGGGAAAAGGCGGAAGAAAGACCTGGGATACTCGTGCAAATATACTGAGAAAGTCCGGAGAAAGGAGCGGCACACTGGCGCGTTGATGGAGTGAGTTGTGGATCCCCGGGTTGACCTATTTGCTGCCACTGAAGCCTAGCTTGGGTTCAATCATGGACACGAGTCAATCAAACTAGATTGGCCATGGAGTCTACGTGAGATAGCGATGGGATCCATCATAAAAGCGCGATAACGGGAAGATATGCAACGAGTGATGCAGTTTTTCCGCTGTGAGTAGCGTGGAGAGTCAAAGGAGCTGGCATTTGTGGCTACGGGTGCGAACTGGCTTCAATCTTTAGCTTTCTCAGCAAACCTGCGTTTCTCAAGAACCTATACGCACCTAGCGCCGGAAAGTGGCCTTTTTGAACCTTCTCTAAGGGTGCTAAAAGCGAATTGATGGGGCGCTGGATCCCTGCATCTCAGTGTAAGAAGTCTTGTAACTTGCATGATATAGATTGTAATGACAGAACCGTCCCTGAACCTTTCTGCTCGTCCTTAGTTCACCAGTTGATGCACTAGTCGCACCCCCGAATGTGAGGGAACTTCTTGAGCGCGTGGCTAATAGGTGCCTGGGAGGTATAAAAAGCCACGAAGCTGGATGACCTGTTTGAAACCTCAGTCGCAAAAACCATCTTCTGTTCTCGCCACCGCCACTTTGCTGAAAGTCCTTGTCTTTTGAACCTACCTAGCCTTGCGTGGCACACTCAGCAGAGAAACTGAAGTAATGGCACAAAACCAAGTTAAAGAAACCGACATTGCAGTCCTGATTGCCGCAATTCAAAGCTCAGTTGGCCCGATCCAGGTATGCGAAGCCCCATCCCGAACTCCTCCCCTTCCACGTCTGACATGTTCTCAGGTCGATGCCGAAAAGGTCGCGCGGCAACTTGGCATGAGCCTGTCGAGCATCCCGCCAAAGTTCACGGCAATCCGGAAGCGGTATAACATAGACATCAAGGTTGTCAACTCCGGAGCCTTGCAGCGGAATCGGCAAAACAGCCCTAAGAAGAGGCTTTCTGCGTATGGGCCTAAATCCATGAGGAATGGCAATGTTCGAACACAATCGGGCGACGCTGCCGCGATGGAGCTGCCAGAGGGACTCAAATTTGAGCCTGTCGAGGCTGCAGATCATGAGATCCCGTGAAATCCAGGATGGCTGTACCGTGAGTGGCAATGCCGGGCGGGTACTGGCTTTGACAACGGTCCTTTACTTTGTTGGGACGGCATGCGGTTGGGCGGTAGCGAAGGCAAGGTCAGGCACTGAGATAGTTTAACCTGTATCAAGGGCAGTGCACTCACATTCAGGGAAAAGAAACCCACCTTCTCCCATCACGTGTTGAACAAAAACGTGGTGTTAAAGAATTCACACCAGAGTAAATTGAACAAATTTGAGACAACAAACCAGAATGCTCTGTGTACCTTGGAAACTGAACGGGTATCCATGCCCTTAGGGCATGGATACCTTAAATGTGTTGAGAATGTCAAATCATGGACGGCCTCACCGCATTCCGTCCAGACAAAGGGCGAAGGAACGCGCCGTGGGACCAATGCTCCTACTAAACAAGTAAGAGTTTGTCGACCGCCTCTCCAGGAATGCCGTGAAAAGGGCGCACGCGAGAGAGACAATGGGGAGGTTGTGTTTAGAACAAAAAGGATTGCCGAAAAGCAGGCTGCCCTTTACTCCTGGTAAAGGAGTATTTGGCCCGTCTTCGAACATCCTGCCAGAAGACAACTTGTCATACCAGTAGGAAGAGGGGACGCATGGGCAGTAAAGAACGGTGCAAACAACTTTGCTCACTTCCGTGAGCGATTCCCGGATGTGCTGTACAAACATACGAGTCAAGCATGACACGGTCGACTGCCTATTCTCTCAAAGCGACTCACTTGCGAGAGCGCCTCGCAAGCTTCGCCTTGCATTCAGCCTTTTCCTTGCGCTCTTTGGCAAGATCGTACTCCCCATCGGAGCCCTCGGTGTCCTGGTTCTTGGCACCCACATCCATCTCCCCCTCGGTGCCGACATATGCATCGTCAATCCTGGTCATTGTGGTGCGGCGTGTCTTGCGCACCGGCAGCCTTTTTCGGGCAATTGGGGTTGGTTACAAACCCGATACGCGTCGGTTGACCAACGAATTAGAGTAGCCCAAGACATAATAGAGGCAACAGGAGAGTACACGCCGAGGCCACCGTACGCGGGTCTGCAAACTGCCATGCCTGGAACATTGGTAGCGTCAAAGCCACCCAAAACCGCGAACCAAGCCATATATCAGCCACACCCTGGCTGCGCGTTGCCACACGTGCGATTTCGCGTCTCCAAGTGGCTGGCCGCAAACGAAGTTCTGTAAAGCCATTTCATCCTGACCACAAAACTTCAGTGCGCAGTTTAACCATCCTGGCCGTCCGTACTCCGTATTGTGGTTTCTACGGCACGTGACTCGACTTAGAGAGACAGCCACGTGGCTATCCGCGACTGCACAAGAACTTTGTGGCTGAAGATATGTACGGGCGCTCGAATGCGTCGGTGCGGCAGCCTCATGCTGCTGTTATCGACCGGCTCCCACTGATATATTCGTTGTCAGGGTTGCCGCGCTCTAGTCTCTCCGTCTCTCTCTGCCTCCCTACCTTCAAGCCGTTGCCAGCCCATTCCTACGCTTGCTCGTGCCCACTTTGAGCGAAACAATGCGCCTTTTGCTTTACAGCGAGACCGGTAAATTCTACCTCACTGAACATGACGATGGTCGAATCCCTCCCTATGCGATACTTTCGCATAGATGGCTAGAGGATACCGAGGAACCCACCTTCGAAGACCTAAAAATGGCACTGCCGAGGAAAAGCCTGGATACGAGAAGATCCGGTTCTGTGGAGAACAAGCGAGACGGGATGGCCTACAATACGTTTGAATGGACACATGTTGTATCAATAAGACAAACCAAGCCGAACTCTCACATGCTATTAACTCCATGTTTCGCTGGTACCGCAACGCTACTCGATGCTACGTCTATTTATCAGATGTCCCCAGCCCTCCGTCCGGCACCAGTGATGAGTTCAATCCACAGTCGTGGGACTCGGATTTTGGAAAAGCAAATGGTTCACTCGGGGTTGGACGCTCCAAGAACTTCTTGCCCCCCATTCGATCGAGATCTTCTCTTGCCAGTGGAAGTGGCTTGGTAATAAAAGATCTTTAAAATACCAAATTCACAAGATAACAGGTATTCCTACCTCGGCGCTTCAAGGAGCGCCTCTGTCTCGGTTCAGTGTGGATGAGCGATTTTTCTGGATAGGATGCGGCGAGACAAAGCTCGAAGAAGATAAAGTATATTCATTACTCGGCATTCTCGACGTTAAAATGTCTCTATTCTACGGCGAGGGAGGGCCGGGTGCCTTTAAACGGGTCCGGGAGATAATCGACAAGCGGGAAAAATGCATCCAAGACTTACGCCTCACCGATCCCCGTGATGATAAGAGGCGTATTGTAGAGACTAAGGGTGGCTTACTGAAAGACTCGTACTACTGGATCCTCGAAACTCCGAGTTCCAACAATGGCGCAACACCGGGGAGAGCTCACTACTGTGGATCAGGGGCGACCCCGGTAAGGGCAAGACAATGCTGCTGTGCGGAATCATCAACGAGCTGACTAGATCGACAATCGAGACGGCACCTCTGTCATACTTCTTCTGCCAGGCTACCGATTCGCGATTAACAACGCCACTGCCGTTCTACGAGGTCTTATACGAATGCTTGTTGGTCAGCAGCCATCGCTCGTCTCGCGTATCCAGAAGAAATACGATCACGCCGGCAAAGCTCTCTTCGAGGATGCGAATGCCTGGGCTGCTTTATCCGAGATCTTCGCAAACATTCTGCAAGATCCGAGCATGGACACAACTACTTAATCACCGACGTGCTCGATGAATGCGTTGTCGATTTGCCGAAACCATTAGACTTCATCGTCCGGACGTCGCCTATATCTCCTCACGTTAAGTGGATCGTCTCTAGCCGTAACTGGCTAAGTATCGAGAAGGACCTCGACGCTGTGACGCAGAATGTAAGGCTGTGTCTTGAGCTTAACGAAAAATCGGTCTCCGCAGCTGTTACCGCATACATTCAATTCAAGGTCGACTGGTTAGCGAAGCGAAATAGATACGGCAGTGGTACACGGGACGCTATCCGGCGCTACTTGTCTTTAAACGCAAACGGCACTTTTCTCTGGGTGGCCTTGGTGTACTAAGAACCCTCCAAATATCTCGGGATGGAAGGCTCAAAAGAAGTTGACGGCGTTGCCACCTGGACTCAATGCCCTCTACAGGCGGATGATAGACCAAATCAGGGGTTTAGAGGATTCTAAACTTTGCAAACCTATACTGGCCGTCGTCTCGACTGTCTACCGACCTATCGCGTTGGACGAGCTGGCGTCTTTCGTCGACATGCCCGACGATGTCTCTGGCGATTACGAGGCCTTATCGGAGATTGTAGGGCTCTGTGGCTCTTTTCTAACACTTCGTGAATACACCATCTCCTTCGTTCGCCAATTGGTAAAGGACTTTTTACTCAAAGAGGCGTATTATGATACTATTCCTTCTGGAATAGGAGACATACTTCACATAATCTTCTCGAGATCGGTCTACGTTATGTCTATGGCGCTACGACGAAACATCTACAGCTTACCTACGTTGGGATATTCTATCGAGCTGGTGGAACAGCCGGACCCGGACCTATTAGCGGCGTTAAGCTACTGGTGTACCTTCTGGGTCGACCACCTCTGTGACTGAAGTTCCCACTTATTAAGGATCCCTACTGAACCTAACTGGGTTAGGGTCCTTAGTAACAATCCTAAGATAGCGTGAGCTGGTTGGGAAAGACACAAGGTATGAGCAGGGTTTCCTGTTACTAAGGACTGTATAGTCCAGTAGATAACATGAGTTGGCTACGGAGAGAGTGTAACTACCTAGGGTAACGAAGGTGTATATATAATGCTTGTGCTCTGTGCGCTCTGTGCGCTCTGCGCGCTCTGTGCCGACAGGGCTAACAGAGCCAACAGGGCCAACAGAGCATATCACGTGACCTAGCCTTATTCCTTCGTGAATCCTTCTAAGTGTTCAATGAGCGTAATGAGTCGTACTCGTGCAACTCGTGACCGGTCTCCTTCAAGGCTGTGTCTAACACCACTCTTGTATAAATCAAGGGATTAACCTACAGGATGGAGGCGCTATTAAAGACTTCGTCAGAAAGAAATATCTTTACTGGCTCGAGGCTCTCAGCCTTTACGGAGGTATGTTGGAAAGGGTGGTGTCAATGGCGAAACTCGAGGCTCTTCTTCAGGTAATCTTTAGTCTAGCCATTACTCACTGTGTTCAATATATACTGACGTTACCTAGGCAAGAGCCGACGCACCCGCATTACTCGAGCTAGTTCAAGATGCGCGCCGATTCATTATGTATCACAAACAGGCGATAGAGAACAGTCCTCTTCAGGCGTATGCATCTGCACTTCTGTTTAGTCCAGTCGGTAGCCTAATAAGAGGTCTTTTCAAGCGCGAAGAGCCGAACTGGATCGTAATCCAGCCGCCCATGAGAGATGAATGGACCGTCTGCCTTCAGACGCTCGAGGGCCACAGCGGCCATATCTACTTAGTGGCATTCTCAGACGACTCGACCCAGCTCGCGTCGGCATCGGACGGTACGGTTAAGATCAGGGATGCGGGTAGTGGCGCCTGCCTACAGACGCTCGAGGGTCACAGCGACTCGGTCAGCTCGGTGGCATTCTTACACGACTCGACCCGGCTCGCGTCGGCGTCGCTCGACGGCACAGTCAAGCTCTGGGACGCAGGCAGTGGCGTCTGCCTGCAGACGCTCGAGGTTGGGACGGTACTCTACAATATATCGTTCGATGTCGCTACTTCATGTCTTCGTACTGAAATCGGTACCATTGCTATTAATTCTTCATCAGCTTTATATACGACCCCGAATGTAACAAAGCCCCAACGTCCACGATCTCAAGGCGGGGGAATAAGTTCGGATGGAGGGTGGATAACATATAACTCGGAGAACCTCGTGTGGCTACCCTCAGAATATCGGCCTTTATGTTCGGCCGCATCGGCAAAGACTGTCGGTATCGGCGTTGGATCTGGGAAGGTATGGATGTGCAGCTTCAACGTCGATGTATTGTAGCCCTGTACAAGGTAGAGATAGCTCCCCACGCAGCGTATGATTTACCTGCGTATTTTGCGTCTACTTTGTCTGTAATAGCCAAGGGCAGTGAAAGAGGGATTAGTGTCTTTGTGGCCTTGACAGATGTACTGTTGCCGCTATTGTGTCTCGGGCTACTCCACCTATTCATTGGTCCCGAGACACGTATCAGGTTTGTAATGAGCCGTACGAGGTGCATGCCGCTTCTGATTTACTACTGTACTTGTACATTCTTATTATTGTACTTTTGAGACGGAGCTTAACCATGTTAGGCAATGATGTGGATCACAGATGTGGGGCGCAGAGTTGACGAAAAGAGAGACACATGGTAAAGGCGGTTCTGCAACCGACTGTAATCGACATCCCAGCGTAGTAAAACGCCCTGCGTGACGAGATGGGCAGCTGGTACTTCATTTCCTTCTCATCATACTCACCATACGTGCTTTTGATCGGTAACTTGAATGAATATCTATGTTTTGAAGGCACTGACTTTCTGCTCTTTCTGGTTCTTGTTCATAATTACACAGAGATGAGTCTCTCGAGGCTTAGTTTCTTCGACCATCTTCAAATCACGCAAACTGTTTCATCCCTCTAGTGCAGACAATATCGCTTCTCCTGGCTATTCCACATAGTACGAATGGAATGCCAATCCAAATGCATTATAGAACCAATTACTATATCAGTAATTATAGTTGCCCACGATCTTTGCTGCCATCTCGCGCCTCTTAACATCCCTGTCGAGTACTTCCTCACAGATTCACAAACAGCCGAGGACCAGACCGTGTACGATGGCACGTAAATGACAGATAATATGACAGCCACCAGCCAGAACAACATGGCTTAGCGATCTTGCCGCCTCAACGCTAGGAAAGAGCTCTACACCCATATCTGAGGCGACACGTATTGCCCTCGGTTTTAACCTGAGAAGCTGGCATTCTGTCCACGTTAGGCAGGCTCAAACCCAATAGCATCTATCTGAGAGCGCGGCGGCCATCAGCTCGGCAGTCAGCAGAGCGCACAAGATGTCGGTGCTACTGCTACAACCTACAGTATGTGTCCCACGACTGGCGTGAATCCCATGTCGCCATTGACCAACTTTCTTTCTTCTTCCCTCTGCTTCCTGAAATGATTCCATTTCCTGTCGTGGTCTCAGCCTTAAATGACATTTCCTTCAGAGTTGCCCACCGTTGGGTGAAGCCTCGTCGCGTCCACGCCCCCAATTCTCCCTCTCAGCCTAATGGCCACATCTTTTATCCTCCGTATGCCCTTACTAATGTACGATAGGTAATCGGTCACTCTAAAGTCCCTGCGGAGCCTGTGAACAAGAGATAGGATTTAAGGCATAGAGAAAGCGTTGAAATTGACTCCTTTTGTATGATCGTATAGCTGACTTGAACATTCGATGAAGGATTCCTCCACGATGCCGCCGTTCTGAAGCGCGCGCTCTACTAACCTATGAAACTTGTCCAAACAATCTGCTCCGCAAAACAAATAATCCTAACACACATCAAAGCCTCCGTGGAAATAGATTCTGCAATGATGGTACTGTAGATATCGGCATCCGGAATGTCTGATAAGCAGATGTCGCTGAATCTGCCACTTCCTTGGTCAGATGCCAGAACTGTTCCCACCGATACGTCTCGATCGCCAATGACAACACCATTCTCACCGTACTTTTCACGGATGATTTTCACAAGGTTGGAGTGTTCCCTTTCCTTTTACTATTAATGTTCGCTTCTCTCTCGAGTAGCACATGTAGAACCCCCTTCGTGACCGGCTTGTGATGGTGCTTGAAGCGCATTGCCATAGCCTCCTTAAGCATTAACATCCGCTCCCCAGTCGAGGAGCATCTGCACCGCCTTCTCGTGACCTCCGAGTGATGCTGCTTAGAGCGCATTACCATAGAATCCTTCTTAAGCGTTAACATCCGCTCTACGCTCGAGGAGTATCCACACTCTTTTCTCGCGACTATCTTAAGATGCTACTTAGAGCGCATTACTATATCGTTCTCCTTAAGCGTTGACATTCGTTTTACGCTCGAGGAGTAGCTGCATGTTAGAGCTGCTGCCGTATCGCCTAACGAGGTTAGGCTCCTCAGTAACAGATCCTTGATAGTATGGACAGATCTGGCCAGGTCCAGATCTATTCAGCGGACGGCTTGTCGCCACAGTGCAAATAGTATATAGATAGCCAAAGTCTTTTTGAAGTAGGCAGACAGGACACAATCAAGCAGACAGATCCACTCTCACAGACCTGTTCGCATGCATCCAACAACATATCACTGTTTCCACTCCTACTAATTTTGATCCTTTGGACGAGGAGTAAGGTTGCGGGCATGCTGTCAGCACAATGTGCGTTTGGCAGCACTCGCAAGGAGGCTGACGACTTCCGCCACAATGTTCGAGTCAGGGTTGATGTCTCTTGATTATTGAATTCATCTGCTCGACATCTTTTCTTGTATCTCGATGAAACATAGTACAGTAGATCCAAAACCAATATCTACGGGTGTTCCATATATCGGCTCGGTGCAATATACAAAACTGTGCCCGCTTTGGACAATCAATGCCAAAATGCCACGACTATTCATCAAATGCAGCGAAAAACCCAGACGAGCCCTTCCAAGCCCACTCGCAACACATTAAGTAGCCGCGGCCCTTCGTCTCCTCCACCATCTGACCACCCACCACGCTACACTCACCGTGAGCGCCGTTCTGTAGGCCAAAAACAAGGCGATCGCCCAATTCACCCTATCATAATAGCCATACAATAACTTACCCACGGCGTGGTGTGGGTCTTTACCCACACCTAGCCCACCGATCCCAACACTGTGCTTATTGAAAGATGATCGCTTGGCGCCACGGGTGGAATGCGCTTTTGTAGCTGCAGGCATGGGCGCAGATGCCGACTCAGGGCCCATAGCAGGCGCAGGTTCGGCTACGGAAATGGCTATGGCTTCGCTTGCGCCGTCTATGGCGGTTTGGCTTGGCCGCCGATGGAGTCGACTCGGCCAAGACCCCGACGAGAATGTTTCTGCAGTATTCTTCCTGAATGAGTGGGTCATAATGTATACGAGCAGGCGCAGATCAGGGACCGTGAAGGTGGGATATTTCCAGAGCGCTACAGCGTTGTAGGGCGGAAGTTGATCGAGAAGGTCCGCCAGCACGCCGAGTGTAAGACCCCAGAGGATGAGTGGCTGTTGGAAAGTTAGGAGAGAGCGGTGAATGGATGCTGAGGAGGGAATGCCGAACGGTGCTTGAGCCCATCCAGATAGGGTGGAAAGATTGTCCCCACCCTCTGTGGGTATGAAGCCCGGTATTGAGCTGGCATAAATAGATTCTGTGGGGAGAAGGCGGACGGCACTGAATATCATCTTGCCCATTGTCCAACGGATCAGTCTATGGATCGTAGGACCAACATGTTTGGCCATTCGAGAGGATATATCCACTGCTTCTCTGGTTCGTAGAGTTGGGGTGAGCAAGGCGCGGAGAGAGACCCAGTGGACCGAGGCGACTTCTGTAGGTTGTGGCTGGACAGGAGGGACGGCTTTGCCAGTCAGGAGGAATATGTAGGGACACAGCACCATGAGAACATCTTTCCCCCACGAGGTGGTGACCAGTCGTTCAGGAAGATTGCCTGCGGGCAGACAATCCGCTGTGTCCAGATCCAAGCCTATCTCTTCTCTCGTCTCACGGATCGCAGCAGCAAAGTCGTCGGCGTCCTCGGGATCGCGTTTGCCGCCGGGTAATGCTACGTGTCCTGACCACCTATCACCAGCGCGGCCAGCGCGCTTGATGAAGAGCAACTCCGGGTCTCCTTCTTGGACCCATTCTTGTGCAAAGAACTCGCTAATGGTAGATGGGGGCGAGGGAGGAGATGGCTTATCGACCGCTACGATGGAGCCGTTGACATTTGCAGGGACGGGCTTGTAGGCCGGTCGGACGCGGATAATGGCAGCAACACTGGCTCTTTTTTGAGAGGTATTGAGAGGATTGGGGACATGCGGGTAGGGATTCTGGCTGAGTTGGATCAAGACTTTCTCGAGGACTTTAATGATGGCTCTTGAGTCTTCCGACATAGCTGCGATATAGCGTGCGAGATCCTATTCGGCCAAGAGCATTTCCAAGTGAGATACTAGGTAAATGGCGTCAATGAGTCAATGGAATCAGCCTTGGTCAGCCTCGTCGGTATCCTGTTTGATGCCGAGGCTGTCATACTCGATCCGAGCAGCCAATTAAAGAAGATCATCCGGAACAATTCCTCCTAGACCCAAGCCAACAGATTTTCCGAGCACGCGAGGGGAAGAGCCACTTTGATTTGCTGTTGCCCCCCGTTCAGTGCTTTTGCTGAAGTGGGGATAATGCAAGCAGTAACTGCATTGCAGTTCCAAAGCTTCGCTCGTCCAAGCTCTGTCGATTCTGTGCCAATTGCATAATTTCTTCGACTGCGGTCCTCAAATTCGACATCCGTATGGAGTAGCTTTCCCATCCTGAGTATCCGACCTACCTTACCTTCGCCCTCGCATCCACCATGCGCTTCGGCAAGACCCTGACCGATTCCATCTATCCACCATGGAAAGACAAGTACCTTGAGTACGACAAGATCAAAAAGCTCCTCCGTGAAGATGAGACCTCCCCACAGGGCCGTGGCGGGGAAGGCAGCTGGACTGAACAAGATGAAGAAAATTTCGTCCATGAGCTAACTGTGACCCAACTGGAAAAGGTCCACCAGCACCAGGTCGACACCTTCAACTCGTTGCGAGACCGAACTGCTGCCTGCGAGGCTAAGCTCCCCTCTCCTGAAGGTGAAGATGCAGGGAAATCCGAGGAAGAATACAAAGCTGTGGCAAAGGAACTACTCCCTGAGCTCGACAGCATCTCCAAGGAGCTCAATGAGCTTAGAAAGTTCAGCAGGCTCAATTACACTGGGTTCCTCAAAGCTGCAAAGAAACACGACAGAAAGAGAGGTCTCAAGTACAGAGTCCG